GTTAAGGATGTTCCAAAATCTTGCCTCTAAACAAATTTTTGCTAAACAAATTTTTGCTAGATGGCAAGCACTCTTAAGTATTTTTGAATTTGATATAGAATACATTAAAGGAAATACTAATAATAGCCCAGACTTTCTAACACGAGAATTCTTACAGAACAATGGGAAAGAAGAAGGATAAGGGAAAAGAATCTATCCAAGAGCCAGATTCACCCACTAAAGCTCTTTCTGAGCAATCTGAAGATCTCCATAAAACTTTTACCTTAACTAGTAAACAAACCCCTTCTAAAGACCTCAAACAATGGATTGAAGAACTCAGTCAATCTCCAGAGGTACTAAAGGCCTTGCAAGGTATGACATCTTCTTCCACAGAAGATATAGGTATGATTTCTAAACCTCAAGCGATCGTCATGGTTACGGCTAGTCTTGTCTCAAACGGTAGTAGTAAAGACTATCAAATCCGTTGAGGCATTGGATTTGCTCAAAAAATTCCAGTATTTTCTAATAATAGTAAAGTACATAAATGGTTTGTTCAAAAAAATATTTATGATATGAAATTGAATCGAGGACGGATATAATAATATTAATCCTTGGCAAATCTAAAGCATTATTATCCTGAGGTTGGTATTTTGTCAACTGGGATTTTTTTCAAAACCTCAGGAGTATTATCATAAATATTTAATATGATACTGGGTTCTGTTAAAAATTAAACACTTTTGATACAAAAAATAAAACGTTAATTTCTTATTTCTCTATTCAAATTAAAAATGGGTTTTTTCTTTCCTAAAATTGGCCCGTATCTTCCACTTTCTACTCCAGTAAGATTTAAAGTTTTACATAAAACCACAATACTAACATATAATATTTGACTACAAACGAGGCTCTGGAGAAAAAGTTTTTTGTATCAACAATCCAACTACCACTCATTCGTGGTTATTAGTTTATTTGAATCAACATATCCGAACTGATTAAAAATCCCAAAAACTTGGTTTTAAAATGGGTGGCAGGGTTCTAGGAGGTTATCCTCTGAAGGATAGTTCATTCCTCCTGATATTATTCTTTATATCATTATTTTTAAAATCCCACTATAAACCTAATCCTGGAGAAGTCCATATTCCATCCTTGATGTATTATATGTATTGACTTTCTTCACCCCTTGGTATATATCAGTGGTATTTTGATTATCAATATGTTCCGGGAACCCCAAATTCCTATGTTAGTAAAAAGACACAAAATAAAAAATTGGTGGGGATCTTTTCAAATTACCACTACTGAATAAATTATCAGTCAATGGGATTCGTACTAAATGGATTCGTACTAAAATAGCTAACTCCTCCATGCCAGCATTAACCTATGCTAGTACACTAGCTATTCCGGAAAACCCTACATTTGGAATCCAGAAAGCACAGTGTCAAGCCCGGTTAGCTGCAGCTAAAACCCCAGAAGAATATAAACTGATCTGTCAAGAAATGTTTCAACAACTTTCAACCAGCTCAGAACTCCCCGTAAACCCATCATCCAGTAAACCTAGAGGCGTATCATCTGGTAAATCCTCATCTAAAACAAGTCATAAAGGCAAAAATAAATTCATTTCATCATCATCTTCAGCAGTCTCTGTATCTTCCTTTGACGATAGTGATGAAGACAATATTTTGCCACCAATAAAAATCAAAAGTAAAGCCGATAAAAAAGCAAAAGCAAGAAAAGAAAAAACAAAGCAAAAAGAAAAAAGAAAAGAAAAAATAAAAAGAAAAGAAAAGAAAAAGAAGGACACATCATCGTCCTCATCTTGTTCTGATTCCCTATAAAATATAAAATAGGCAGAAGGAACCTTATTCCTTCCACTCATTAAAAGTAAAAGCCAAGCTACTATGTCCACAGTAGAAGCCAGGTTACTATATCAACAGTAAAGGTCAAGATTCGATGGCCGACCAGGCACTATTCATCCACAGTAAAAGTCAAGATTCGGTGGCAGACCAACCACTGTTCATCAACAGTAAAAGACAAATAGTAAAGATTCTTAATTTTTCTATAAAAAGGGAGCCTCTCCCCTTGTGAAGGCATAACCTAGCACGCATAAAAGAATCTACCCTCTCTAGATATCTCTCTCTCAATTCTCAGTTCTTTGTAAGCGTTCAGTGAAAGAAAGTTTAAATTCTAAACCTTTTGTAAGTTTTAAATATTGTATTTCATATTGTATTTATATTTTGTAATTAAATAAAATTTGTGTTTTGATTTAAATTGCTACAATATAAGTCCGTGTTAACGGCACCTTTCTCTTCTCCCTCCACACTCTGACTTAATTCTGGGGATCCCAGGTTAAGGTTGCAGGAACCTTAAACAATAAACTTGTTATTGTGTTGGCACCTTTCTCTCACACCAGCCACTCCCCCCCCCACCTCTCCGGCCCACCCATCCACCCCCCCTCCAAGTACAGACCCCACACAATGTTTAAAGTTGTTATGTTAAGTTTGTTCGATTAAGTCCGTGTTGACGGCACCTTTCTCTTCTCCCTCCACACTCTGACTTAATTCTGGAGATCCCAGATTAAGGTTGCAGGAACCTAAAACTTTCATATATAATGATTTATTTTCACTTGTTTTTAATGATTTTGTATGTTTGTTGCTAAATCATATGATTCTTAATTATTTATTCATATTTATATATTGCGATCCTTATTTTGTTATATATATATATATATATATATACACCGTTAAAAACATAAAAATCATTCTCCACCAATTGGAAGTTTGTAGAAATAAAGAGGAAGCACCAAGTCATTCCACGGACAATTATGCATGGCTACTTCTTTTTAATTCAACTTAGTATTTGAGATCAAGATGGTGTCAATGGAAGTAGACAAGAGTATCTGTAAGTTATTATTTTTTTCGTAATTTCAATTTATATATGACTATCTTGTACACTTAAATTCTAAACATCCAAATCTATCCAGCTCTTCTAATTAACTCGAATTATAACTCAACATCAATAAATTTGAACCATATCAAGGACATGCAACAATGACAAATTAAATATAAGCAATCAAATGATCTAATAACAAATCTAAAAAGCTCAAAGAAAAATTCTTCAAAGAAAAAAAAAAGGTATTTCAATATAATTTTGAAAATCATAAAATCTAGCAAGAAAACAGTATATGGGTTTCATGCAATCTAATAAAATAATAGAAATGAAAATGAGAATAAAGACAAATAAAAAGGGAAATTACCTAGAAGATAAGTATAATCTAGGAGAGGTATATGGTGAAGAAGAGAGCACAATCGGTAAATTTTGGAGATGGTAAAGTCAGTAGAAAAAGGTAAAAGGACAAATGAGAATAATATGAAGAAGAGACAGTTAAATCGGTATAACATTATTCCTTGAACAATGATTCTGATTTTCGGTTTAGTATATATAATATACTATAGATATATAGTTATTATAATAATTAATATATTTATTATTGTTTTAGAGCATTGTTTATAATTTAAAAAAAAAAAAAAAAAAAATATAAAAAAAAAAAAAAAAAAAAAAAAAAAAAATTCGGTAATAACATTATTCCTTTGAAACAATGATTTCTGATTTTCGGTTTAGTTATATATAATCATACTATAGATATATAGTTATTATAATAATTAATATACTTTATTATTGTTTTAGCAGCATTGTTTTATAATTTTTGATTCTGATATTTTTTTTTTTTTTTGGCTAAAGGTGATGAGTAATAAATTTAATTTTATTGGTTTTTTTTTAGTTTATGAGTATATAATTAATTTTATGGTTTTTTTTTTTTAGGAAAGGAATCTTCTCAATATGTTATATGATTTGCTAATATAACATGTTATATCATAAATTTATATTTACATATATTTCTAGTGAGTTTTATTTTCTGTTTTATATCAAACAATAAATTTTATAATATATTCTTTAATAAATATAACATATTACATTTATTCTTTTTAAAATAATCATAACCAATCAAATGAAACATTTAATAAAAATAATAATAAAACATATTATATTCTTGGAAAAAATGCTCATTTTACCTTCTAAACTTAGATAAAGTATTCAAAATGCTCAAAAATTAACTTTTCGAGGCCAATTTCCTCCATAACTTGTATAAATAGCATCAATTTGCCCATGTTTTGAGCTAGTTAGTGCAAGTGCATAATGATAAGAAATAAAAGCGAATGAAGTTTCTGATTTTTCTGTCTTCAACTTTATATTTTATTTTTATTATTCTATTATATTTATAATTTCATGAGAACGCCTACAAAATCTCTTTTTTTTCTCTCACTCCACACAAACTCAATCCACAGATTGTCCATCTCTTATGGAATTTGTATTACCCCAATTCGACGGTCTTAAATATTCTGATTACTATGGTAATTATTGTTATTCGGAAGGATAAAATAATTGAAATTACTTTAATTTATTAATGAGGAACTATTAATTATAAGATATGATGTTTAATGGAAATCAATTTTGTTTTGAAAATTAAATTGGAAGAATTTCAAATTGGTAGTTCTCGGTATTCTAACTTGTTCAATTATTTCGATTATCCGAGTAATCTAGAAATTGTGAATGACGAGAAACACTATAGTTAGAGAATATTAATATTAACTAAATGGAAATTGAAGTATATATGAATCAATTTGAAATATTAAAGGGAATTGAAAATGAGTTAAAGAAAAATGATCTCCCGGTAAAGCACAATTTTACCTGAAAGCCCTGAAAATCGATGATTTTGGTATGATGTTACTTAAACATGGCTAAGATTATTAATAGACTTGGTTTAGACCTAATTGGGACAAAACTAAAGTAATCAAAAAGATTTAGGTGCAATTGTAAGAAAAGAAAAATAAATCAAGGATTAAGGTGCAAAAAGACAATTAAAGGACATGGAGGGAATTACTATGAAAGGGTTTTTGATTGCCACCTATTTAAGATGACCCATCAAACACCTCTTGCTCATTTTTACTATCCATGGTCGAAGCTCCATGAGAAGAGAGAGAAAATTCTTAAGGACAAGCTTAAGTGCATGATTTCTAAGGAATTTTCAACTGACTCTTAAGGAGAGGTTAGTTATTTTCTCTTCCTCTTTCTTTTCCATGGTTTAATTTTTTATTTCCTTGCACTATGGTATGAGGTTCTTGCTTATTATTGCTGACTTAGTGAGAATGAAGTGATTAAAGTACTTTTAAGGTGATTTACATTGGTTGAGAATGGTTAAGCATGAATTTGAAATTAAGTTTGCATAATTGATCAACGTGGATAATTTTAGTCATTTGATTGATAATCTATGAATTAGGTATTTTGATATATGAAAGGTACTTATGTTATTTAAGTGTTACAAGAGTTGTTATGCGTAAATTAGTGGTGGAGGTAAGCTAAGAATGCTAAGGAGATAAAGTATTGCTTAAGCCTATTATGCATCCTGAAATTTAGTCAAAAAGATGGACTTGGTTAAATAGATAAATGAGCTCCAAAAATTATGAAATTTTACCAAAAACTATTTTAAGATGTTGGAAAGGTTGTGGTAAAAGGGATAGTGCAATGAGTAAAGAGAAGTGGAGTTATAGTTAAATGAATGCAGGCTGCTCAGTGGAAAGGATGACTGAAAATTAGGTGTAGTGTTTAGGTTATTTAGCTATGCAAATGAGCTCAAAAATTCATGAAATTTTATATGGCAGTATCCTAAGATGTGAGGAAGATGCTGTTAAAATTTTAGGACAAATAGATCGAAGAAACGAGAGATATAGCCAAAGGAATGCATGCTACTCATATGATGAAAATCTTGTATTCCACTAGTTTGTAAAGAGTTTAGCATACTTTTAATATGTTATTAAGTTCAATTATTTTAGTTGTTATTTTAATGTTTCTAGAATGTGAAGAGTTTAGCATACTTTTAATATGTTATTAAGTTCAATTATTTTAGTTGTTATTTTAATGTTTCTAGAATGTGATTAAGTGTGAGAAATGAAGTAATTCATGCCTAAAATAAAGTCCTCTGTTAGTTGATTAAGCATAATGAAATTGAAGGAAAAGCATGAATATTACATTTCAATACTTAATTTACATTTATATGATAGTATGTGTGTGTATATTGAGTAGCATGGAGTTAATATGAATATTAATTTCATGCTACAATATCTAAGTGGAAATGATTGGAAGATAAGTCAATAAGTAGAGGAATAAGGCTAGGAGAGCATTCTAATTCAAGTTAGTGCACTATATCTATAACTTATGTTGTTTAAGTGATAATTAAAATAGTTTTAAAGAAATATTTTATGAAAAATTACAAGGTAAAAGTTATATGCTAAGCTTACTAATTTATTAGCTTTTACAAGAGAAAAAGTTGATTTATTTATCAAATGTTCATATCAAATGAAATTGAATTCAAATGTGATTATTGCAATTGTGAATTGATTATAAAGAAAGCAAATGCTAAAGTTATAGTTAAATGTGTTTTACACAAAAATAATAAAGAGCTAATGTTAAATGTTTATAATAGTTGGAAATGAATTTCAAAGTACTCATTTGAATGGAAAATGGAGGATGATCTTGAAAATGGAGGATGATCTTGAAAGAATGGGTATAGAAATGTTTGAGCAAAATGAAATGCTACTCATTATGGCTAATGATTGATTTATAATGGAGATGTTTTAAAAGTCTCACAGCTAAATGCATGACATAGTTATTATTTGATATCACTTCATTTGTTCAAGTTGAGATTATGATATGGTTATTACTTGATATGGTTATGATATTGTTTCCTCTTAAATGAGGTTGAGATTGTCCCTCTTCTATTGATATTTATATCACGGATTGAGGTTAAGATAGCTTTGTCTTGATGAGCTCATAAGATGAGGTTGAGATTGTCCCTCTTCTATTGATATTTATATCACGGATTGAGGTTAAGATAGCTTTGTCTTGATGAGCTCATAAGACACCGATGGCCCTTCAGATTGAGTCTGCATAAGCTGTGGAGACAAAACTATTGATTGATGATTGTATTGTTATGCCATAATATATGCATATAAGTTGATTAGTTTTTGTAAGCAAATGAATATCATTTAGTTGATATGACTACTTGTTATTTCTATCAAACTGATTTGTTTTCAGTAAACAAATAATAAACATTGAACTTGAAAGAGGTAATGTTGCAAATTGCTTTTCACACTTAAATATCTTAAATATCTAATGGTAAAGTATTATTTATATGTGTAATTTATATAGTGCACCACTAAGCCTTATGTTTAGCGATAGTTGTTCTCTATACTATCGCAGGAAAAAGGAAAGGAAGAGTAGGAGAGTAAGTCCGACAAAGTGTTGAGTTCTTTTTATAACTTTCAAAGGGTGAGATACTGATGTAGTCATTGCCTTATGAATAGTTTTATTGAAATTTATATGATGTATAAAATAGAGACTAGTCACGTATATATATTGAACAGACTAATACGACTGAAACTTATATGAGTTTACAATTATTGATATACATTATGAAGCACTCGAATGGTTTAGTTACTATTGAAACTAATTTGTTGTCTTAATAACGACTCTAAAGAAACAATCCAGTATGTAATCATTTTTCTAATGGGCTTATAGTAAATGGTTTCACCAATTATTTGAGTATGTAAATGTGTAATTTGTAATGGACTTTTAGTTAAAACATTTTAAATAGTGGAATGTTTATATCTTTTATAAAAAGAAAATTTATTGAGTTTGAGATTTTTATAAATATGGGTCTTATGATATCTAAAATGTTTCAAATAGTATTTAAAATTATTACCACACATGCATTTTGAATATAAAAAGTTAAGTCTCTTAGTAGTATGTTTATTAAGTTCTTATATAGACATACAACGGGCGACATGTCACGTCTTACAGTGGGGTAAGGTGTGATATAATTTCGTGGAAAATTTTTGGTTTTAAATTAAATTGGCATAAAAAGTCAGCTACTAAGCCAGTATATATAAAAATAAAGCAATACATTTCAATATTTTTAATTTTGGTCTTTTCAAAATTATTCCAATAGCAATAGCTTTAGACTCCGTTATTAGTTTCTTTTGTTTTGCTTCTGCTACTGCTGAGTCATGGTCGAGTTGATTCAGACCCTATACAAGACATGCAAGCTTTCCTTTCTCTTTCGAGTTCCTTACATCCCTTCAAGCTTAACGAAAAAGGAAATGCAATAATTTATATCTTGAATGCTTGTTGCCCGAATGTAATAACACATGTCTATTGATTGCAAATTTCATCGGTGCAAAAATGTCAAACACAATAACATACAGATCACATATTATTCCATTGACGTAATTCATTAATTAGATAGAGATAAGTATATCACATATGCATTCAATTTTCTCTGCCACTTAAAAATAATTCCATGTCTTTTTATTTCCACTTCTATAATAAAGTGAACTGCTTTGCTTTCTTCTTTTCTTTTCTTTTTCTTTTTCTTTTATTTTTTTAGCTTTTATTCGTAGAAACAACAAAAATGGAGAGAACATGTGTTAGAAATTTGCTTTGGTTTATCACAGTAATTGTGCACATGATGTGATTGGTAGGTAGGTAAAGGGCAATTTCTTAGAGAGGGTTGGTCTGCATTTCTAATGTTTTGTTTGGTTAAACCGCTTCTTTATTCTTTAAAATTAAATTAAACATTTATTAGTTGTTTTATTTTTGTTTGACTGCGTGTTAATCACGCACGCATTGTGGAGGAAGTTGGCCAAAAAAAATATATTATTTTGGACATTTTGAATGTTTAACTTAAGTTCAAGTGCAAAATGAGCGTTTATCCTGTATTCTTACCATATTTAATATTTATTATATATAATATAACGTAACCAATTAAAAATTAAATTACATTTATTTATTCAACTAATAAAATTAAAATCTTTGATGATATTATATTCATATTTAATATTATCTTATATAGTATAAAATATAACTTTTTTAATTTATCTAATAGAATTTAGACTTAAGTGGCACCTCAAACTTTGTGAGAAACTTATTATACCTGAAATTACAATTTTTGGTAGCATTTTACAATTCTTTATACTAGCAATAACAATTTGTTTGATGTTTTTAGCATTTATATGCAAAATATGCTATTGATATGTGCTTACGATAATCTTTGAAACAATAATTTTCATATTTTTCAATTATCGAAAAGTGTTTAGTCGATCTATTTTATAAGTTTAAGTATCAATAGAATAATTTTTGCAAATTGAAATATTTTAATAGGTTAATATAAAAACAGAGGATATCACAACATTTTTTATGTAAAGTATGGGAGTGCATGTATACATCCAGTGGTTTATAATAGTTACTTCAGGCATTAGAAAAATAATGACATCACAGGCAAATATAATAAGACATAAACAAGCTTTTTGTAGAATATAATTCAAATAAGGCTCGATTTACTCTCTGAATTTGGACACAATATATAATTTACCCAAAAAAATATTAACTTTTTGTATATTTTACCCCTTGAACTTGCACCAAAAGTATAAATGCCCAATTTTTATTCCAAAAAATAAATTATTTGATATAAATCAAATAGGATTAAAAAGAAATTAAATATTTTATCAAAGTCAAATAAAATTAAAATAAATAATAATAAATATTTTTCTAACCAAATATCTCAATATAATCAAATCTTTTTCTAATTTTATATCTTTTCAAATTAAATAAATTATTTTTAAATCAAATACTTTAAATTTTCATAATTATTATATTTTTAAATATTTTTTATTTTTCAATTTTAAATTCTAGTTAAAATTAAAAAAAAAATCCTTAAAAACTGAAAATGCTGTCGTTTTGGTGCAATTTAAAGGGGTAAATTATATTAAAAAATTAATTTTAGATAAATTTTAGATTGTGCCAAGTTTAAGGGGGAAATATAGCCTTATTCTAATATAATCTCATAAATTGAGGTGTTTGGCGGTTGTTTTTTTCGATTTCCACCTTATCCGTGTAATTTATTCGGTTCGATTTGAAGAATTGTCCAAAAGGGACCGAATAAATCGAATGCTGACCTATTTTGCTTCTTTCTTTCTGCTGCAGTCCTTGCTTTCTCTTCTCATCACCATACCGAATGGCTGGGAAGCGAGAATCTACGGCCTCTTCTGGAGCAGCTTCCTCCAAGAAGCCAAAAGGGAATAATGCAGAAGATGAACCGTTTCCAGAGGAAGTGGATCAGGTGGATGAGGTTGGGGATAAGCTGGGTTCTGCCGTAGGGTCTCATCCGGAAGGAAAATTTATGGGGATAGAGGAGAATGGAGGTGGATCTGATGCAAAATCTCCTTCTGATGATAAATTGAGTAATAAAGAGAGCGAGTATGGTGGAGATAGTGAGGAATATAGACCTAGAGCTAGATTTATTGGCGACCCTTTTCTGATGAAGAGGCCAGAAGACTATGGCCTCATCTATATGTGAAGAAGAAGATATAATTTTCTAACGAAAAAACACTTGTTTTTTTTCTTGTGTTCTCCACCTTTCCTATGAGATTGTTAAAGTTAATTATATATATAGCTGGTGACATGCTCTTTATCTAGTATTTTTCTACATAGTTCTCTCTCTCTCTCAAAGATTTCAAGCATCAAGATTTGTGCCAAAATTTAAGGTTTGAGATTTCAAGCATCCAAGATTTGTGCCAAAATTCAAGGAAGCCATCCACATATCTATTGTCTAATTTTTATTTCTAAACTCTTAATCTTGTTTTTCTTTTCATTATTAATTATGAAATTTTATTCAAGTATTTTTGTATCGTTGAAATAAAAAATTAATTTTTTTTTTTTTTGTTTTATGTTTATGATTTATTATAAATGATCATTTATTTATTTGAAATATTAATGTATATTTTTGTATCGTTTTGAAATAAAAAATTAATTTTTTTTTTTTTTGTTTTATGTTTATGATTTATTATAAATGATCATTTATTTATTTGAAATATTAATGTATTACTTATTTAATGTATTGTATCCTCAGCGTGTTGATATCCTACCTTTTTAAAATTATTGCATCCCGTGCATTCCTATATTTCGTGTCCCATTTCCATGCAACCTAACTTCTAGTATATGAAACTGCTCTATGCACCAAACTAATCAACTAAGGTTTTTTTATTACCAATAAAAAATGAAGTGCTTTTTTTTTTTTTTTTTGAAATTTATTTGTCATTGCAATAAAAAATTAAGTTTTTTTATTTTTTATTTATGATTTATTATAAATATAATTATTTATTATTTAAAAATATTAATGTATTATTTATTTAGTGTATCTTTATCTAATAACTATAAATGTTTTACCTTCTTTTTAAAAAATTGTGCATCTTCATACATTCTTGTCCCGTTTTCGTGTACTCCTAATCCAGACATATGAAAACTTTTTCGCTCATACAACCAAGCCTAATCAACCAAGATTTTTATAAATAATTATTTATTTATTTAAAATATTAATGTATTATTTATTTAGTGTACTTTGTCCTAAACGTATAAATGTTTTACCTTTTTAAAAATTGTGCATCTCATACATTCTTGTCCCGTTTTCGTGTAACCTAACTCCAGACATATGAAACTTTTTCTATACACCAAGCTAATCAACCAAGATTTTTTATTGCCAATAAAAAATAAAATATTTTTTTTAATTTATTTGTCTCTAAAATAAGAAATTAAGCTTTTGTTATTTTATGTTTATAATTTATTATAAATAATTATTTATTTATTTGAAATATTAATAATTGTCACGGCCTATTTCCAAGAGCCGGACCATCACTGGGGGCCAGTAGGGTTAAGGCCTCCTAAACCTGTAGGAAGCCTAAATCAATTAAGCTCATTTTCTTCACAATCCTGGCCTCAACCCAATAATCATATTCTGATAATCAAAGCCCAATCCAATTCTCCACAGATGTATCGAAAATACAATTTATATAATTAATACATATATCCATATTATTCAATTACAACTCACTTGGAATATAATTGCGGATCTCCATAAATTACAATCTTTACATCAACATGCTTTATACATTTATTGTTATTTTTCTTTATTTATATTTCAATTCAGTTGGATCCATAGGATTTTTCTCTTCTTCTAGCACTTGGAAAAATAAGGAGGCAAGGTGAGCGCTAAATTCAATGAGTAGGGTTAGATAACCCTCCCATACCATACAATCGTACATACAATGATCATGTTTTACAATCAGTAGCCCTCTGGCTAATTATGGATGAACAAGCAAGCATGAATGAACACTTACCAAACAAGTCACAATAATTCAAGTAATCAAACAATGGATATTAGTCTGTGGAATCACCCATTATAAACCAGGATCATGCTCACCCCCAAAGCATGCTTTAAAATAATTTCCGGAAAAATAATCTATGATCCTTGTATCAAGTGCACTCAGGGAGTCCATCCCTGTTCGGGCTGGACGGACCTCGTCCGTCTATTTCTCTTTACTTTCCTTTTCTTTTCCTTTTTGTTATTTTTCTTTCTTTTCCTTTTTCTTTTTTTTTTTTATCATCGATGCGCATCAAATTACACAGTGCAAAGGGGGGTGGAGTACCACCCGCTTATGGCCCACTGACGGCATTCTCACCATACCCGTGCTCTCACCCCATGGTGACCCACATCATTCTAACTCCACAGCACATTACAAACAAGTCACATTCAATCACCAAATTTCACATCATTCACGCAATGTATAATATCCAGCATCGCCATATATTTTAATATAATACATGTATTCGATGTTGTTCATGGCATACACGCCTATATGGCATTTCTACATGTACGCATGCTTCATATAGATAGCATATTATTCATGTATGCATAGATGTAAAATGCATGAGCGATGCGGATTATCTAACCCTGCTCACAGTTTGTTTGCTTATAGTAAGTCATTGCTCAACTTCTCGATCCTTTATCAGATGCTGATGAACTTTTTAAAGCCCCTAAAGAACAGATATAAAATGATATTAAATAAGGTTCTGTAACTAGAAGATTTAACTCTTAAATTTCATTTACTTTATCTTGCATTATTTGAATATTCATGTTTATTAATCAAATCCTTTTATTACTTATAGTTTCTTATTTGTATTATATAGTTTTTATTTCTTAGTTTATCTTCACTTAGTATTATTGTTCTAGATCACTATCAAAATTTAAGAATAGCACTAATAATAACGAACATACTATTAATATTTAATGTCCTTCATTTACTTAATTAATCTTGGATCCTAATAGTCGTTTTGCCAAAAATTCGGCAGCATGCCCTTTATAAATTAGACAATCTACCTGTTTTAAATAGTATCAATTTATTTAACATTTCTATTCATTCAATTCACACAGCCCATCCTTCGGGCGAATCAACTATATAATTCCCATCCTCCATTCACTAACAACAAACCATTCAACAACCTTCCATATCAACATCAACATCAACATCAACATTACTTAGGCTTTTGGTACTCTCATAAATGACAATAACAATCTTTTATATACATATATATATAGGAACTCAATTACAGATACTACAAGCATATGTTCCAATTACAATGCTACTTGCTGTAATAATATTGGAATATTTTAATATATTTTCTAAATACAAAATCAAATTCTCATTTGTTAGCAATTGACAGCCTATGGAATTAGAAATTCAACTCTAAAAATAAAATTTAGACAATTTAGTACTTAAATACTTACCAACTTGATTTCTATTTAGAGATTTACGATCAACACAGCAAGAGGAAGATCTGTGTTTTATACTTCACCTAAGCCTCGTCGGACCGCCGGGACAGCCGCCGTACACAGTGGCCAGAGTTAGGTTCTTGCCCGCGATCATTTGGTTAACAGATCAAAATGTTCGAAATTCTATGGGGACTTCGATTCTTTGATCAATTTCAACTGTTCGATATTAATTAGAGCAGAAATTAGAAATCCCCAATTCTCAAAAACCTAACTTTAGCTATATACACATTCACAAAGAAAGGGACCACATTATTTGATGGAAACAGATTTAGACTTACTTAGAAGGTGTTTTAAACTTACCAAGTCAGGTTATGTCGCCGGAAAAGCATTAAGGTCGCCGGAAGTCGAAGAAGAGAAAGCTGTCGAAGAAGACAGCTCCAGATCGCGCTACTGGAGGTTCGTTCGGCGTGAAAGAAGGTCAGAACTTAACCAGCGACACGAAGGGAGCTTATCGCCATCTTGCTCTCGTCGAGCAGTGGTCGAAAAGTTGATCGGGGAAAGCGAAGGGAGCGTCGCATGATGAGGGATCGACGAAAGAGAAGGTTTTGTTTAAACCTTTCTTTCTCTTCTTTTATGTAGATGGGAATTTTCTAGGTCTGGTTTGATTTACTGATTCGGTTCGATTTATTAAAAACTTCTAGATTTTAGCATAATTTCAGTGGTTTAAGTAGTTGGGTTTATTTGTTATTTGTCTTCTTTGTAAAATAGTTTATTCATTTTAATAAAATAATATTTTTAAATTCTCGGATTTAAAATTAATTTGAAAACTTTTGAATTTCAGAAATCATGATATTTCAATTACTTATTTAATGTGTTGTGTTCTAAGCGTGTGGATGTCCTAATTTTTTAAAAAATTATCATATCTCGTACGTTTAATTATCTCATGTCCTGTGTCCTTGCAACTTAACTTCTGATATATAAGACTGCTCAATACACCAATCTAATCAATCAATATTTTTTTATTACCAATAAAAATGAAGAGTTTTTTTTTTAATTTGATTTTGTGTCATTGAAATAAGAAATTAAATTTTTTTATTTTATGCTTACAATTTATTATAAATAATTTTTTATTTATTTGAAATATTAATGTATGATATAAGATAGTGTTTAATTTATTACTTGCTTCACTTTATACAACACTTTTTTATTTTATTTGAAATATTAATGCTTAATTACTTATTTAGTTACAGCATAAATTGGATCCTAAGTCAAAAAAGATGTGTTTTCAAGATGTGTTTTCATGGGTTATAGTAAGAAGCATAAGGGTTATATCTGCTTGGAACCTACAACCAAGAAAATATTTATCTCACGCCATGTTTCTTTCTTTGAATAGGTGTTTCCATTTGCGGATCCAATGGTAGACAGCCCCATGTAGACATGGCCATATTATGGTTCCAGGAACCGGAACCGTCGGTTCGAACCGGTCCAGAACTGTAATCGGAACCGGTGAGAACCGGAACCGGGCCGAACCGGAACCGGAACCGGAAAATTTCGGTTCGATTCCGGTTCCAGAAAATTAGGAACCAGAACCCGGCCGGTTCCAGAGAGAAAATCCGGTCGGAAACCGGACTGGAACGCCGTCGATTCTCCCGGCCGGTTAAGAAACTGCCGGTTCCGAAACCGGCGGTCTCTAGCCGCTCTCCACCAACTGCGAAGGGCCATGTATGACCCGCTTGAGGCTCTTTGCCAACGCAGAGCTTTGCAACTCTTGTGAGGGCCTCAATCATGCAGCGGCCCTGCTAAAATAGTGACTTGCAGAATACAGCTGTCACCAACAATCCCGATTGCACATATATATACACCAATATAATATTTGTGTGTTTGAAGGGTAATGTATATTATTTTATAATTTAATTAATATATTATTATTATAGAAACTGTCAGTTTTGTGTTTTTTTTTTTTTTAATTTAAGTTTCAAGCCTTCTTTTTTTAACATTATGTTTATAAAACTTTTTTAAAACAAAAAATAAAATTCAGTTGAAGGATTAAACAAAAAATAAATTCAGTTGAAAAATTTTTTTTAAAAAAATAATTATGTTCAAGTCTTTAAAAAAATAAATTTAATTGAAGTATTTTTAATTTTGTAGGTGTATTTTTTAATTTTTTATGTTCAAATATATTTTTTTAAACCGGTCTTTAAAATTTAAAATTTAAAATTATGCGATTCGCCGGAAAACTGATCGGAACCGTCGATTTTGTCACCAGAACCTGAAGGTTCCAAACCGGAACCAGAACCGGACCTTTTCGGTTCGATTCCGGTTCCAATTTTTAACCGGACGGTTCCAAACCGGAACCGGACCTTTTCGGTTCGGTTCTGGTTCCAGTTTTTCTGGAACCGAAACCGCCGGTTCCGGAACCGTGGCCAAGCCTAGCCCCATGGTTCACATGCAATCAGACATGACTCCCGTTTATCTACCGCCGCCACCAACTTCACCTCCTGGGATTCTTGGTCAAGTTCCAATACAACCAACCACAGAGTTGACGCAGCCTGTATCTCCTCAGCCTTTGGTTGTGATTCCCCAATCAAATTTTGAGGTTGCCGAACTTGTGGCTGTTGAGGTTCCTGCTCCTGTTGTTCAACAAACTGCTTCATTGATGCCTTCAGTTCGTACTCACCCAATGGTTACTCAAAGTCAGACGGGGAGCTTGAAACCACGTAATTATTCAACAAGTGTGGAGGTGCCCACGTGTTTTACTAAAGCAGTTTCTGATCCAAATTGGAGACATGCAATGGAGGAAGAATTTAATGCTCTAGTTCGAAATGGAACCTGGGAGCTTGTTCCGCGCAAAATTTAATTGGGAGCAAATGGGTTTTCCGTGTGAAAACAAAGGCAGATGGAACTCTTGACCGGTACAAGGCACGCCTAGTTGCAAAAGGGTACACGCAACGGCCTGGAATTGATTTTACTGACACATTTTCTCCGGTTGTCAAGCCAACAACAATTCGGCTTGTACTTTCTTATGCTGTTTCTAAAAATTGGCGCATCTCCCAACTGGATGTCAGTAACGCGTTCCTTCATGGTGATTTGGAGCAATGTTTATTATGGTCAGCCATCTGTGGGTTATAGATTAAAGATAAAACCATTTAATGTGTCTGCATAAAATTAATTTGAGATCAGTTTATTATGGTTTGCGCATATCACCGGCTGACATTCTAATACGACCTGCGCTTTAACAAAAATTTGTGGTTTTTCAGACGGCTGATGGCTCTTTGTTTTATTAACAAGCATAATGGATAATCATTGTGTTATGTTTAGTTCTACGTTGACGACATCATCTTAACAGGAGTAAATAAATCTGAAGTTGGATTCTATTATTGCTTCTTTTGAAACAGGAATTTTCACTTCTGCTGATATCGGGAGCTCCTGACTACTTCCTGTAAATTCTTCCTGGGAATTGAGGTAAAACCAATGAAACATGGTTTAATTTTAACGCAGACTAAATATATAACAGAAGTATTGAAGCGAGCCAATATGCATGATTGTAAAGGATTATCCACTCCAGCCGCTATCACTGAGAATGTTCAAGATAATTCATCTCTTTCTGCTGAGGATTCAAATTTATTTCAGGTCATCATTGGTGCACTGCAGTATTTGTCTCTTACAAGGCCTGATGTATCTTTCTCGGTTCACCATTTATCTCAGTTTGTTCATTGTCCGAGTATCAAACACTGGTGTGCAGTAAAAAGAATTCTCAGATATTTGCAGCAAACAAAAGACCACGGGTTGCACATTACACGTAGCTCACATTTTCATATACATGCCTATACTGATGCTACGTGGACTTCTGATGTTATCGATCGCAAATCAATCTCTGGAATGACAGTATATGTGGGTACAAATTTGATTTCTTGGGCAACTAAGAAGCAAAAGTTGGTTGCAAGGTCTTCTACGGAAGCGGAGTACAGAGCACTTGGGACTGTTACCGCTGAAATCACTTGGTTGCTTTCTTTGATTAATGAGATTGGTCTGCCAAATCCGTCTCCACCAACAATTTGGTGTGATAACATAGGAAGGGAGCTACGTATCTTTTCGGCAAACCGGGTGATTTCATTCTCGCGATGAAGGCATATTGAGGTGATTATCACTTCGTACGTGACAAAATTTAGTAAGAAGCAAATTCACAAAGTTAGTTATTCTCCAGTAAAAGATTAAATCCGCCGATGTGGTTTCTTCACTTTGGTTTTTTTTTTTTTATTTAAGGCCTGTCAAAACGCCAGCATGAGGTTCAAAGAAATAAAACATGAGGTTTTCAAAGAAAAACTAACAATTCGACCTCCTTCGGGGTAGAATTGTGGGGGCGTGATAAGGATATGTAACTAACTTACAGCTGTTTCTGTTTTTTAATATGTATTTGAATAGTTAGAGCTTATCTATTGTAATCTATATATACAAGAGATACAGAAATACAAATCATGTAATTCATACAATTATACTTTTAATTAGTTATAATTCTATTACTTGAAACATAAAAATAAAGAAGAGTAAAATTATCAATTGGTTGGAGAAGTGGATTTCATCCATGATAATACTAACCTCCATAAAGGTATAAATAGAAGTAAAAGTTAAAAGTGAATATTGATCAAAGTGAAGAAATAGAAATATTACCTGAGTTCCAAAATCAAAGATCCAACGTAGACATCTTCACAAAAGAGGCTGCATTGAAAGTGAAATAATTTTAAAATAGATTATTACCAGCCAAATACAACCTCAAATATGGCAAACATATAGGTAAGATTGGCTTAAAGATAGATAATTAATAATAAAAATAATAAATTATTTATGAAATATAAATTAAGAAAAACATCCTTATAACAGTCAATGCTCGCATCCTATTCTGTTAAAGAAATGCAATCTAGCAAATTGAAAAAAAAAAATGATGAAATGAAAACAAAAACTTATACTTGAGGAGATAGCAAGTGAAGAAGCATAGAGATACAAAATCTTAATGAAAATTATTTAACCAAAAACGTATATAGCAAGATAGTTTCTAATGTATATGATTAAAATCTAGAAGCAAGTAGATTAAATTTGAATTTGTTAAATTTGATTTTCAAATAGAATTCTAGAATATAACACTTCAAAAATTTTTATTATTAGTTTTTTAATTTAGAAAGTATCCAATCAAAATGTAGAAAAGTAAGAAAAAAACTAAAAAAAAATCCTTAAATAAAGAAATGCATGGAGCAAGACAGTTTCTCATATATATAATCAAAGTTTAAAAGCAAATAAATTAAATTTGAATTTGTTAAATATCAATTTTCAAATAGAATTCTAATATCAATCTAACATTTCAAAAGATTTTATTATTAGTTTTTAAATTTAAAAAGGAAGGATATATAGCAAGAAAGTTTTTGATAGATATGATTAAAGTTTAAAAGCAATTTTGATAGATATGATTAAAGTTTAAAAGCAAGTAAATTAAATTTGAATTTGTTAAATTCGGTCTTAGAATTCTAATATGAATATAACACTTAAAAAAAAAAAATTTATTATTAGCTTTTAAATTTAGAAAGTATCCAATCAAAATACAGAAAAATAAAAAAAAGAACAATTTTTTAAAAAGAAAAATAGAATATTGATTAAAGAGAGAGCTAGAGCTTTCTCTTTGTCTATTTACTCTCAACCAAACATCACGTTATTATTTTGTTAGCAGTTGTATTGTTTTTTTTTTTTTTTTTTATTGGGGAAGGGAGAATTTGAATTTAGGTTAATCATTAGGTCGTATATGCACTTATCACTAGGCTATGTCTTAAATTCAATTCTAGGTTAATCATTAGATCGTATGTATAATTATTACTACATTATGCCTTGGTGTGCTTGTCAGTAGTTGGATGTTAATAGGAAATAGAGAGTGATATTCAAATTTTCAAATTTTTTCTTTATCTGGATCATTCTGTCACAAAAATTTTGAAAAGATAAAAGGGATAATTCAGTTTTCACAGTGGAGTTGACTCACATCACTCTTTCACTTATCACTAGGCTATGCTTGGTACGCTTATTGTAGTTGGATGTTAATAGAAGATAGAGAGTGAAATTTAAATTTTCAAATTTTTTTATTTATCTAGATCATTCTGTCACAAAAATTTTGAAAGGATAAAAGGGACAATTCAGTTTTCACAGTGGGTTTGATTCACATTACTCTTTCACTTATTACTAGGCTATACCTTGGATTTGAATCTAGGTTAATCATTAGGTCGTGTATGCATTTATCACTAAATTATGTCTTAATGTGCTTGTCAATAGTTGGATGCTAATAGAAAATAAAGAGTAAAATTCAAATTTTCAAATTTTTTCTTTATCTGGATCATTCTGTCACAAAAATTTTGAAAAGATAAAAGGGATAATTCAGTTTTCACAGTGGAGTTGACTCACATCACTCTTTCACTTATCACTAGGCTATGCTTGGTACGCTTATTGTAGTTGGATGTTAATAGAAGATAGAGAGTGAAATTTAAATTTTCAAATTTTTTTATTTATCTAGATCATTCTGTCACAAAAATTTTGAAAGGATAAAAGGGACAATTCAGTTTTCACAGTGGGTTTGATTCACATTACTCTTTCACTTATTACTAGGCTATACCTTGGATTTGAATCTAGGTTAATCATTAGGTCGTGTATGCATTTATCACTAAATTATGTCTTAATGTGCTTGTCAATAGTTGGATGCTAATAGAAAATAAAGAGTAAAATTCAAATTTTCAAATTTTTTCTTTATCTGTTTTTTGCTTCCCGCCCATTCCCTTCTGAACTCAAAATTAAAAAAAAAAAACAAAACCCTAGTTACTATAACTTAAAAAAAGGCCTGTCTCTCTTCCTCCACCTCTCATCTGTTGCCATTCTTCCTCTTCTCTATCCACTCGTAGTACTGCTACTATTCTTGCTTTCTCTCCCTATCTCCTCCATCCGTGGCTGTCGGAGCACCGCTGGGACATGGCTGGGAAGCGGAAATCGACGGCCTCTTCTGGAGCAGCTTCCTCTAAGAAGTCAAAAAGAGTAAAAGCTGAGGAGGAATCATTTCCGGAAGAAGTGGATCAGGTGGATGAGGTAGGGGCTAGGCTGAGCTCTGCTGTGGTGTCTAATTCCGAGAGAAATGTTACGGGGATAAAGGAGAACGAGAATGGCAGTGCATCTGATATAAAATCTGCTATTGAAGAGAAGTTGAGGAAAAATGTGAGTGGTCCTGGTGGAGATAACGAGGAAGATGGACCTGAAGCTAGGTATATTGGCGATCCTTTCTCTGATGAAGAGGCTAGGAGACGGTGGCCTAATAGATATGCGAAGAAGGTAAAATGTTTTAACACAAAACGTCTTATTTTAGTATTGTCTTAACCTTGAAATTTTAATTTCTTTATCCTTTGAAGTTCAGCAACAAATATACACAGCATCGTGGTTTAGTGTATTTTGAGATATTTATTTTTGGTATGGCTTTGTGCTTATTGCACTTGGTCATGAAATTTCCTGTTATAACTAGCGGTGAAAATCAAGTTTCACAAGGTATCAGATTGTCCATGGTCAAGTAATTTGTTTTAGAAAAATTGCTTCTTAGCTTTGAACATTAGTTGCTTGCCATAGAGTAGTCATTACGCAGCTTTCCCCACTAGCAGACATCAATCTGAAACACTCAATTCAAAGCCCATAGTGCTACCTATTTTCACCAGTGGATCTGCTGTAACAGCAGGCTTTATAACAGTAAAACAAAGATATCTTCCCCTCCAAAATGCAATGTAATTAGAACTATCTCAACATAAATATTTCAACAAATATCTCTGTAGCCTTAAGACATGCATAGTTCCCTCAACAAATTTTAGCAATTTCTTTTTGATTCCCTTTATATTATCAAATATTTTTGCAGTTTTAGTACTTGGCTTGGACTCGCCATAAAATTTTAGAAATTTTTAGACTTGTTTAGGTTCTTTCAACATAGTTTATGCAGCTTTAGGACATGTAAAGGTCCTTTGAACAAGTTTGGTAGTTTTACTACATGCTTAGGTTCTCTTCAGTTTGTGGATATGCTGGTTCCTTTTTATTTTACTTCCAAAAATCAAAAGACAGATTTTACACTCTTGAAAATTGGTGGTTCTTGTTAAAAATTAGACAATTATCCAGAATTTCTTTTCCTTTTTTATTTTTAACAATTTCCACAAATTTAACTTAAGAAACTCACGAGCAAACACAGCATAACTGTTTTCTTGAACACTCAAAAACACAAACAATGTTAGGAATGAGGCTTTAGGTCTAAGGCCTTATTTGGTTTACACTTGAAGAAACAAAACAGCTGAGAGGAGCAAGTTTGAGAATCAAGTAAAGAAATGAATATGTCATGCAGACAGTTAGTCCTTAGCAGCCTAGGTATAGAGCCAATTGAGAGAGAGAATCTTTTGCTGTAATTAATTGAGGCAGAATTCTCTGCACAGGCTTGGGTTGAGGGTTTTCTAACAACCATTTATCCTTTATTCTTCTGTTATTTTTCAGTTCTTGGTTTAGTTCATTAATTCCCTCATTGTTACTGAATTTCTAGATTATCAAATTAATACAAGTAAATTCTCTCGGTTCTATTCATTTTATTTGCTATTCTTCTATTTGTTTGAATCTTTCAATTGCAAAGGTTCACTTCTCTATCATTGGTCTGACCCGCCGGATCTGTAAATGAAGTGAACCAATAATTGAACAATAACAGAAGAATAAGGGATAAGTAGTTGTTAGACAATCCCCAGGCCAAGCCCATGCAGAGAATTCTGCCTCAAAAGTAGTTACAGTAAAAGATACTCTCTCTCTCTCTCAATTTGCTGTATACATAGGCTGCCAAGGACTAAATGTTCGCATGATGTGCCCCTTTCTTTACTTGATTCTCAAACTTGCTCTGTTCGGCTGTTTTGTTTCTTCAAGTGTAAACCAAATAAGGCCTTGGTCCTGAAGCCTCATTCCTAACAAACAAGTCCTTTAAAGTAGAAGCTTTTGTACCATGTTGGAGATAAAAAACATGTTTTGTAATTGAGCCTTGATAGGATTGAAACCACTCACATATACAGCTCATACAAGCAGCATAGGTTTTGTTATTGAACCTTCAAAGAGCTTTGTTCCTCATTGATTTATATGGACATGTATATAGAGATATATCTCCAAGATTTTGTTTACAAAGATAGATTTTAGCCTTTTCTAAGTATGTGTATATTTGTATCTTAACTAGATATGACTAGAACACAATCAAAAACCCATACTACTACCTAGCCCCTTTACCAAACACAGTAGCATTAGGTTTTATAAGAAACCAAAGCTACTTTTCCCCTTGAAATCCAAAATTAAGAAAAAATGTCTCAACAACAATGTCGTAACTCCAATAGTTTGTCTATCAACACAAAGCCAAAATAGATTTTGTAGTTGAGCTTCAATAGAATAGAAATTACTTAGAAATATAGCTCATACATGTAGCACAAGTTTGGTAATTGAATCCTCAAATAGCTTTGTTTCTGATTAATTTCTATGGACATGTACATAGAGATGCAATAAGAAGGTGTTACATACAAAAATAGATTGCAGCCATTACTAGCATGCTATCTCTGTACCTTAAGCAAGTCATAATTGGTTGATTAAAATACAATGAAATTCCCATACTATTACCTAACCCTTTAGCAAACTTATTGTAGCAGCAAGTATATAACAAAAAAAAAAAGAAAAAAGAAAAAGAAACAAAGCTAACATTTCCTACAAAATTCAAATTAATTAAAGTATCTCAACAAAGTCTTAGAACTCTAAGGGCGTGTTTACTTACAGAATGCATTTTTCTGTTTTCTAAACAAACAATTTTCTTAAAAAATGAAAATTAGAAAATAGAAAATGGAAAATAAGTTCACTTGGTAACAATTAAAAATCATATTTTAATTAAAAACTTCACAAACATTATTTATAATTTTCACAATTAAAAGAAATTAAACAATTATAAATAAATTTAAAAATTTGTAAATTTTATTATTGATTATTTATAATAATAGTATCAATTCTTATCATTCTGTACAATTTTTTAAAAATAAAGGATATAATATATTTGTAATAATAAAATTAATTATATATTAAACATAATATAATTTTTTTTTAATTTAATTATTTTTTAGTTTTTCAATGAAAATATTTTATAGAAAATATTATTTATAGCTATTATAATTTAATTGTGAAAATGTTATTTTTTAAAAATGACAAACAGTTTGTCTTTTGTTATAAAGCAAAATTGTGGAAAACAACTTAAAACTATTTTCTAAATCCTAGTTAAGTTTTGGAAATTAGAAAATTATTTTCTAGTTTTTCAAATAGAAAATTGACTGATTTTGAACACAAAACTCTATTTTTCAGTTTTCTTAGAAAACTTCCCTAGAAATTAGTTCAATTTTTTTACAAGTGAACACACCCTAACAGTTTGTTTATCCTTAAAGATCAAAAATTCCAAAATCCAAATATTAGTGTTTTTGTTATTTTATTATAAAGTGTTGCATGTACAAAAAGTTTGCAAATTTGCGATGCTACATTATTTTGAAAGTATGTATGTTTTCTTGAAATTTTTTATTTTGTGGTACTATAATTTAAGTACTTGTAATTTGGGCTATGTCATTGTTTAAGTGTTAATTGGTGGTTCTAATTTTTTTTGCATTATGTTTCATATTGTAACATTATAGTTTAGCTAATCTAGTTAAATTCATCATTGTTGACCTTACTTGATTTTTTGTCACATTTTAAATCAAGTGTGTGCAAAAATAAACCAATCACAAAATAGTATAGGATTTTATCCTATTTTTGAAAACTTTGGAGCTTCAAACTTTACTTTGTAGTATGTGGCCATCATTTGATATTACTCTATCAATCTTGGGGTAAATCATATTAATGATTAATAAATGTTCTATTTAGTTTCATTCAGGTACTACAACTTCAATTTGTCATTCTTAAATCATTAAACTTTAATTTTTATTTTAATGGTAGGTCACCAAAATAGTAATATGAACCAAATTACATATTTGAAATTAAAAATAATGACTACAACGGAATATAAGACGGAAAAAGTGATACAAAATAAAAATGGTAGAGAACATTTTTTTTCATTTTCTTTGTTCTTTTAAAAACTTGTTTCATGTAGGTGGCCATCATGTTTTAAATAAATTAATGAGTAAATTCCAGTTTAGTATATATTAAGAGAAATATGATTTTTTGAAATGAAAATTTTGTTTTACCATGTTAACATTTCTAATGATTGGATTTTAATGAGTGACCTATTAAAATGAAAATCCAAGTATAGTGACTAATTACAAGGGAAGTTAAGTGACTTTAATAAAATAAGTACAAAATGAGATTATTATTATAATCAATCCATTAAGCTTGGTTGCAATTTAAGGATATCTTTTGCTTTTTGAGGGGGAGTCAAATTGTAATTGCTTTGCTGATTTTTTTGCTAGACAATATAAAAGTTACCATTTTATGTAATAAATCAATTTTAACCTAAATCAATCTAATATTTTATTTGTATGTTTAGAAACTTGTAAGTAAATTCAACATTCATCAAGATCAAAATAAAAAACTTCAAGGATTATGAAATTTTGAGAGCAAATTGATGTGGGAAACTTTTTTTGTACAAGCTTTGAGTTGACTTAAAATGCTAGAAATGGATAGATACTAAAATACATCAATGTAGTGGGCTTTGAGATGACTATTAGTATAATCAATCCATTAAGCTTGGTTGCAATTTAAGGATATCTTTTGCTTTTTGAGGGAGAGTCAAACTGGTAGATGCTTTGTTGATTTTTTTGCTAGACAATATAAAAGTTATCCAGTATAATCAATCCCATTAAGCTGTGCATTTTAAGGATATCTTTGCTTTTTGAGGGAGATGTCATAAACTGGTTACGATGCTTGTTGATTGCTAGACATTATTAACAAAATTTAAGGATATCTTTTGCTTTTTGAGGGAGAGTCAAACTGGTAGATGCTTTGTTGATTTTTTTGCTAGACAATATAAAAGTTACTGTTTTATGTAATAAATCAATTTCAACCTAAATCAATCTAATATTTTATTTGTATGTTTAGAAACTTGTAAATAAATTTAATGCAACATTCATCAAGATCAAAATAAAAAACTTCAAGGATTTTGAAATTTTGAGACCAAATTGATGTAGGAAAGCGTTTTTTGTAAAGCTTAAGGTTGATTTAAAATGCTAGAGACGGATAGATACTAAAATACATAAATGTAGTGGGCTTTGAATGACTGAAATTTGCAATTATTTGAAAGGTTCCAAAATTGATTATAATGAAAGATAGGTTTTTAGATGCTTAGAAGCCTTTAGACATTGCTCATAATGTTTAATTACATCACAATTCATAAAAGCATAAATGTTGTTATATCCATTGGCTAAAGTTGGATTAGAAAACATGTTAAATATGTGTATTTATAAATTCAAGCAATTTTAAAATCGCCGGAGAATGAATTCTACACTAACTTGTATCTCCAAAGAAAATTGGAAGGAATATGTCATCTGAAATGAACAAAGAATCTAAAGAACTCAAAATAAAAATAAGAATTTGCAAAGACATTAAATATTATGAAATTGTTCATACTTTCTAAAAGATAAATTCTACAATTTTCTTGCTTAATGACTATGAAAGCAAAGCTGTCAATGTCTGATTCAGTTTCTAACTAAGCTTCTCGTTAGGGGTGTAATTTGGACGGTATGGAATGGAATGACTCTCATTCCAATTCCGTTCCATAATATTTTGGAATTTGCAATTGCATTCCATTCCATTTCAAATTTTGGAATTTAAATTTTATTCTATACCATTCTATTGAAATTTGGTAGTTCTAAATTTCTTAACCAAATATAAATATAACATATTATGATATTTTTTAAGATGTAAATTTTTAAATTTAACAAGGAATAATCACCATATTTTTATATATACATACTATCACATATTTATATATACATACCTCAAAAAGAGTATTATTTAAATTTTACAAAAATACAATTAATATCACATAAACTAAAAATCAAAAAATATGTTTAGTCTTAGGTGTTTACTATGGAGGGTAGATATACTTTCACTTCTTTAAATACATTTAATAATTTTAGTGCATATAATTGACACTTTAATAATTAATGAAAATAAATGAATATTATCTAAAATCAACAAAAAGATAAACCATTGTATATACTAGGATGTATAAATATATGTTAGTCACCAAATTCATTACAAACGTGGCCTAAATTCCACAAAAAAAAAAAAAAAAAAACTCTACTATTGAGTTCGAAGTTTACTAAAATATTCTCAAACCCATTATATTAATTAAAAAGTAAGAAAATCTCCCTAACTCTACGAATTCGTATCTTTTTTCAACCCCAGGAAATAGTATATGTGAGTAGTCAAAGCTCTAAAGTTTAGTATACTATGTTAACTTACTTAATTAGAGTTTGGGTTAAAAATTATTCTAGTTAAACCTACCTAGTTTGTCTAGAATTAAATAGAAGTGTTCTTACAAAAATATGAAAGAATTAAAGATATTTATTCTAATTTTTTAATTACTAATTTACTCTCTTAAAATTATATAATTTAAATTAAAGCAATAAATAAAATAACCAAATTCAAACCAGGAAAAGTATATGTGAGCTATTTCCAAGTTCATAGTCTATATATGTTACACTTACTTACAGTTAGAGTTTAGGGTTTTAAAATATTTTCTATTAACTACCTAGTTTTAGAATTCAAATAAGAAGTTTTCTTACAAATATGAGAATTAAAAATATTTTTTATTTCTAATTTTCAACCCAGGAAAGTATATGTGAGTATTCAAGCTCATAGTATATATGTTAACTACTAATTAGAGTTAGGGTTAAAATATTCTATTAAACTACCTAGTTTTAGAATTAAATAGAAGTTTTCTTACAAAATATGAAGAATTAAAGATATTTTATTCTAATTTTTAATTTAATATTTTATTTTAAAATATATAATTATAAATGAAAGAATAATAAAATAAAAAATTTGGTATATGGATTGAAACATGGAATTTTATTTTTAATTTTCATTTCATATTCCATTTACCAATATTTTAAAAAACTGCATCCATTTTAAATTCCGTATTCCAAAATTCCATTCCAAATTAACATTTGGTTTGGAATTTCGACATGGATTGGAATATTCCGATTCAAGTTACACCCTCGTCATTAGATATGTGAATGCAGTATGTAACTTGAACTAAATGCCATTGTTAATGTTAGCTACGTGGCCTTTTGATGATATTATCCATCTTAAATTTTCATACCTTGCCTCATCTTTTGTAGAAGTCTTATATTTCGTTGATATTACTCCCTTAATTTATTTTAAATTCAACTTTTGCTTTTCCAGACAAATAAACACGTGACTACAAAAAGTTCAAATGTGTAAGTGTTTGGTCACATTTTGTCTATTCAATCAATCCCTTGCTTTGTGTCTTTCTTTCTCTTCTACTTGTTATTTGTGTGCATTTAAGTATAATGTTTCTTTTTTTACTTTGTTTATTTTCAATTTGTCATTCGGCACAGTAAGGATGATTCTGACGATGTAATTCTAGCTCGCTGCCATTATCGACAAGCTGAGGTTGATGGGCACAACATCTACAATCTCTATGATGATGCTCATGTCAAAGTGAGTTGCTTTTGTTTCTTTCCTTTTCTTTCAAATGAAATCTCTTCGCTCAAAGTGCCATTCTTTCCATAATGAATTTCCGTAGTCCTTACTAAATTAGTAACATACCAATTTGGTCATTTGGGCTGTATTGTTTAGAATTAAGGACTAATTTAATCTCATATGATAAGGTGTTATGTCAATTATTTATAGACATGAGTTACTTTTGAGTATAGTTGACTAATGCTCCTTTGTCCTAAATTTGTTTACTAAGACTGTAGTTCTAATTTAGCTTTGTCCTTGGATTGTTATTTGAGATGCAAGTATTATTGTGCATTACTATTGCATGCTTGCTTATTTGCATTGGAGGCTTTATGGTGTAATGGTTTACAAAGAATATTATTTATTCATCTTTTTTCCCCATTGAAATACTGTCATAAAGAATTTGAGTGGAAGTTGTGAGATTCAAATGTTACTTTACCTCCTTATCTTTTAAGTTTTAACTATTTTTTCTTTATATGAGAATATATTGTTTGGCTTGGCTTTTGTTGCCATTTAAGTTTAGCTGGTTCTTTTGTGTTTAGGCAGCAGATGGGGAGGACAGCTACATATGCAAAATTGTGGAGATGTTTGAGGCTATTGATGGGAACCTATACTTTACTGCCCAATGGTTTTACAGGGCTAGGGATACTGTAAGTTATGGTAATATAACATTTCTTGAGGTTTACGCTTGTAAATATACTAATGTCATTATTGTTTTATTTTTTTATTAGGCAATCAAGCATGCCTATCAGATGGAGCAAAAGCGCGTTTTCTTTTCAGAAATTCGGGATGACAATCCACTGGATTGTCTTGTTGAAAAGCTGAACATTGCCAAGTTGCCTTTGAATGTATGGACATTCTCCTTTGCTCTCATTTGTTTCTGCCTCTGCCAAGTAGGTGACTGTTTAAGTTTGTCTATTAGGTGGATTTAGAGGCAAAGGAAGCAGCAATCAAATCTTGCGACTATTTCTGTGATATGCTCTACTTACTTCCTTATTCCACCTTTGTTAAATTACCATCAGGTCATTATTTTTCCCCATTGGTTCTGTGAATTGATGATATTTTATTTATCTACAATAGTTTGCAAGTTATAAATAGGTTTTCTTTGTTGTCATGATACTTCTAAATTGCAGAAAACACAACCGCAAGCAATGAGAGTTCATCTACACTATCCAGTGACAATGAAATGAATGAGTTGAAGTCTGCCAATGATGTTTATAATAAATCAGAGGTGACATTGTTAGATTTGTATTCTGGTTGCGGTGCTATGTCAACAGGCCTATGCCTTGGTGCCAAATTGTCTGGTTTAAATCTTATTACTGTAAGTTTTTTTTTTTTTTTATTGTTTTTTGGATATTGTAATTGGGTGTTTGAAATTGACAAATGCTGTTATCTAGATGCATACACTTTCTGGTTAGTTTTATTATTTTCCTGAATTAGTAATTATTCTTTTATTTTCAACTGTAGAAATGGGCAGTTGACTTGAATAAATATGCCTGTGAAAGTCTGAAATTAAATCACCCTGAGACAGAGGTATTCTTTTCAAATTGAGCTTCAATTTCTTATTTTGTTTTGGTACAATGTGAATTTTCTGTTCTTAGGTCGATTTACTTCAAATCAGGTGAGGAATGAAACTGCAGAAGATTTTTTATTATTGCTAAAAGAATGGGAGAAGCTCTGCATCAGGTTTTCACTTATAAGTAGCACAGATCCAGAAAAGCAGCAATCTTATTCTTTTGATCTAGAAGAAGAAGACAGTGATGCTCAAGATAATGATGACGATGATGATGGAGATGATGGTGAAGTTTTTGAAGTAGAAAAGGTGCTCCAAATTTGCTACGGTGACCCAAAGGAGAAAGGGGAGCATGGATTGTACTTTAAGGTACATAACCATATGCTACTGAGAGAAAAAAAAATGAATCACTGGATTAATTTTTTGGTTTGGTCATTGGTGTGGCATTTCCCATGGGGAATGGTCTTTTCCATTTCAAGTTGTTTATAGTTAAACATTTAGTATACTTATTGGGTTATGGCTTACTTAGCATAACTGTTTTATCTGCTAGGACAGCATGAGTTATACTAGGGGATTAATAAAGTTTATAATATTGGAAAACAAAAATTGAGGATTTATATTTCTCAGTTTAACATAACATTTGAAAGGAGAGTGTCCTATACATCTAGAAGTTTTTTTTAGAGTGAAATAACTTACATAACTTGAAGAAGCTTACATTATTTTTGGCTATAGTTATCTGACACACCTCTTTGTTCTTTTAGGTAAGCTAACGTGAAATAACTTTTAGGGAGGATAATTGATCTTTTTTAGTGCTTTTGTAATTTTTTGATATGTAGCCATCATGAAGTGGGTGCTCATGAGAATTAGCTTCTGTTATCTACAATGTCAATTGCGAATCCATAGATGGATTAGTGAAAAGATTTGGTTAACCATAAAATTGTTTTAGATGTATTGGCAGAACTACTTATGACTTGGTGCATGAACATAAAGAATTTGATTGCTTATTTCCTACGTGAACCCTTTACAAGGTAATTTCATGCAGAATGCAACAATATGCTTAAAATGAAAAATTATATATTACATAGAATGTAGTGTTCATATTAGTAAATAATTAAAAGAAAAAACATCAGCTTTGAGTGGTCTGTCTAAATGTTCTGTTACTTAGGATAAGAGGGCAAGGAATTGAAAAATGCATCTAGGATTTCAGGTTTGAATTGGCTGGTGTTGGAAGAATAAGCTTTTTAGCATATTCATGTGTTAGCAGAGAAATCAGGTCTTTTAGAAGTTTGTGTGGTTACTGGGTAATAAGCTAGGAAAGTTTAGTGCAATTCTAGAACAAGGGTTTTGGGACAAAAATAAGTCTTGCAACCAGATTTCAGGATGCAGCCCACAGCATGGTTAATAGTGCAGTGTCCTTGATTTTTGGTTACTTTTTTGACTATTCAGAAGATTAGTGTTTGACAGTTTAATTTTTTTTTGTTTCTATGGGGGAAATCATATTTATTTGTATTGAATAATACTGATTAATTTACATGGAGGTTGATAAACAAGAAGAATAGATTGCTATTTCCTAATTCAGATTTTTTCAAGTTGGTCCATATGATATTTCATCTTCACTTCAGCCATGCGTGTTGTATTGAACATATTATTTTTGCTTCAAAAATTAGGAGCTGGTAAAATAGAAGGTGGGATTCTTTTCCTGAACAAGTTTCATTTATTTATCAATTAAATTTGCCCTTGGCAGGTTAGCTGGAAGGGTTATGGTCCAGAATATGACACATGGGAACCAATTGACGGTTTGAGGTATTCAATCAGAGAATAGTTAGAACTATTTTCTTTTTCCTTTTGTTCTTTTTTTTTTTTTTTTTTTACTGAAATACAGGGTAATAAGCTAGGAAAGTTTTAGTGGCAATTCTTAGAAACAAGGGGTTTGTGACAAAAAACATAAAGTCTTGATAACCAGATTTCAGGATGCAGGCCCACAGCATGAGTTAATAGTGCAGTGTCCTTGGATTTTTTGGTTACTTTTTATTGACTGGTATTCAGAAGTATTTTTAGGGTGTTGACAGTTTTAACTTTTTTTCTGTTTCCTATGGAGTGGGAAACAATCATATTTATTTGTATGATACAATTAATACTGATAATTTACCATGGAGCGTTTGCATTAACACAAGAAGGCAAATTAGCGATTGCTCCTTCTTATTTCCTATTTCAGATTTATTCCAAGTTGGTCCATATGACTATTTCACTCATTCACTTTCAGCCTATGCGTGTTGTATTGAACATATTTATTTTTCGCCTTCCCAAAAATTAGGAGGCTCGGTAAAATAGAAGGCTGGCGATTCTTTCCGACCTGAACAAGTTTATCATTTATTTATCCAAATTAAATTTGCCCTTGGCAGGTTAGCTGGAAGGCGTTATCGGTTCCAGAAGTATGGACACATGGGAAACCACCAATGACGGGTTTGAGGATTCAATCAGAGAATAGTCTAGACCACTATTTTTCTTCCTTTTTGTTCTTTTTTTTTTTTTTTTTTTTGGTCTCGGTTCATTTTCAAAAAGTTGGCAACTGCACCTTACACATATAAGCGTTCTCCAATAGTTATTGTTCAGGAAGCATATAAAGAATATTCGTTGCCTGAATGGGGTATTTAAATCCAAGTATGTATCTACCATTGCCTGGTGAGAACACTCGACCACTACCCAAGTGATGTTTGGAACAAACTTTAACATTCCTGGTATTTTCATTTTTTTTTTTCTAAAGTGGTTATTATTCAATTATTATAGGGGAGCCTTGTACAAATGTAATTTTGTGCGGAGGGCCGGCCAATCCAGTTGGCATTAAGCCGGGGGCATTTTTTTTCAAAACCCGTATTTAGAAATATATACAAAATGACCTTGCTCCAAGACGAAAAGAACAAGCGAGCTCTTAGTTTTCATGGGATGTTTTTTTTTTTTTTTTTTTTTGGTCTGGTTCATTTTCAAAAGTTGAACTTGCACCTTACACATAAGGTTCTTCCAATAGTTATTGTCAGGAAGCTATAAAGAAATTCGTTGCTGATGGGTATAAATCAAGTATTCTACCATTGCCTGTGAGTCTACTTCATCTTTTACCAGTATGTTTGAACAATTTAACATCTGTTATTCATTTTTTTTTTCTAAAGTTTTTTATTCAATTATTATAGGGAGCTGTACATGTAATTTGTGGAGGGCCGCCATGCCAGGGCATTAGCGGATTCAACCGTTTTAGAAACAAAAATGATCCTTTGCAAGACGAAAAGAACAAGCAGCTCTTAGTTTTCATGGATGTTGTAAAGTATTTAAAGCCAAAGTTTGTTTTGATGGAGAATGTTGTGGATCTTCTGAAGTTTGCTGATGGATTTTTGGGGCGATATGCCATGGCTCGGCTTATTGAAATGAACTATCAAACAAGAATTGGCATGATGGCTGCTGGGGCATATGGGCTTCCTCAGTTTCGGATGCGTTGTTTTCTTTGGGGTGCCCAACCTGCTGAGGTAGCTATACATCAATCAACCAACTTGTGCAATGGTTAATGTTTTATTATTTATTTATTTTTCTAACTGAATATTCACATTCTACAGAAGCTACCACAGTATCCGCTTCCAACACATGATGTTATTGTGAGAGGTGTAGTGCCTGTTGAGTTTGAGGTATGAGTATCAATATTTAGAATCTTTGGCTTTGGTAATTCATTTTTGGTATTGCATCAATACGAATGCTAATGATACTTGCAGAGTAATGTTGTTGCTTATGACGAGGGCTCTGTTGCTCAATTGGAAAAGAAGCTGTTGTTGGAGGATGCAATTTCTGACCTCCCAGCAGTGAGTCTAATTTTGTTTGGCTGACTTTTCCATATTGTTATGTTCTATTTGTTTCACTTTTCTTATGTTTATTACTTTGTATGTTTCTAATTAGATTGAGAACAATGAACATCGTGATGAAATGCCTTATGGTAATGATCCTATAACAGACTTTCAGCGGCAGATTAGATTAAGAAAAGATGGTAAGTGAACTTAGCCTGTTAAGCTTTGCTTGCTGGCATTACATACAAGTTATTAGGGTTGAGCAAATGGTTGGTTCGGTTTAAATTGAACTGAAATAAAAAAATACAAACCGAAGTTTTTGTCAACAGATTGAATCAAATTGAAATTGCCTTTTGAACTGAATTGAACCAGTTGGTTTGGTCATTTTTGATTGGTTTTGTCATTTTGGTTTAGTTTTAAGCCCCATGGATTTCTATTAAACCGACTTGAATCGAACACTAAAATCGGTTCAAACCAAATAATCCGACAATCGAACCTCTCTTGATTTAGCTGACCGAACTGAATTGAAATGAGTTGGTTTGGTGGGTAAGTTTGCACACCCCTACAAGTTATTGCAACTCTGTCCATCAGTGAATATCCTATGCAAATTAAAACAAAATCTTTGTTCTAGGACTTCCATTTGTTCGATCCATGCCAATAGCATTCATTTTTCTGGAACTTAAGTAATTACATAACATGAATTCTTTCTTGATTTGTTAATTTTGCTGTCCTTGTAGGGCTGTAAACAAGCTGAGAGTTTGTCTCAACAAGGATATGTTCGAGCTCAGCTTGTTTAAAAATAGTAGCCCAGCTCAATCTCGCTTGGGCTCAGCTCAATGATTATAAATGAGTAGAGTTCAAACTTGAGTTTAAAATCTATCAAATTGATAAGAAAAGATTAATCAAATGAAAATAATGTAATTTTAATATTTATATAACTAATCTTGGCTTATTGAACAAATTTGATTTCCAGCTTGTGAGCTCAGCTCGATAATGCTCAAACACATTAATCAATCACATCTTGTGAGTTCATGAGTTAATGAGTCGAGCTTGAGCTTGATAGCTTGGTTTGATAAGTTTATTGAATGAGCTCGAGTCAGCTTTTATCAAATCAAGTCTCAAGCAACTCATGAATGTTCAGTTCATTTATAGCCGTACCTACTGATGCAACCCTTTACACCCGAACTTGTTGGCGAGGCTACATATTTTAATTTTGATCTTGCAGAATTGTTGGATTCTTCATTGAAGTCCAAATCATCAGAAAATTTGCTCTATGATCATCGTCCACTTGAGCTGAATAATGATGATTATCAACGTGCTTGCCGTATACCAAAGAAAAAGGTTTTTCATTGCAGTATCATAGTGAAAACCTCCTGCATTACTCAGAACCTTCTCCACCATTGCTATCTAATTGAGCTAATTTGCCCTCTTTTAAATCAGGGTGCAAACTTCAGAGATCTACCAGGTGTTCGTGTGCGTCCTGATAACAAAGTTGAATGGGATCCTAGTGTGAAAAGGGTTTATCTTAAATCAGGAAAGCCTTTGGTAATATTTTTCTTTTTCCCTTTTGTCCATGTTTGTATTTTTTGTTTATTATCAGTCAGGGATTTAAGACTTTGTAGCTATATTTTACCAATAATTTTTCGCTTATCGGTTCTTTTCGCTTATCGGTTCTTTTTCTGCTTGCAACCACAGGTCCCTGATTATGCCATGACTTTTGTGAACGGGTCATCATCAAAGTAGGTCGCTTTTCACTTGATATTCTTTTGGTTCTATAATCAATATGATTTCATAATAATGTTAGTTTTTTGACTGATTAGACCTTTTGCCCGTCTTTGGTGGGATGAGACTGTGCCGACAGTTGTTACAAGGGCTGAGCCTCACAATCAGGTAAAGCGATATCGCTTTGGATTTAGTAACATTCTATATGTGTACAAGTTCATCTACTTGGAAAATGGGGTGGAGATTGGAAAGAATAGCCATCTTAATAGCTCTAAACATGCCAAATGTAACAATTTTAATAACTAACTGGAGCCTCTAACCGCTTCTAATGATCTTCTCGCCAACTTCTATTCTTTATTAAATTATTTTGCAATCTGTCTTCTAGAAGTTTATTCTGATTTTCAATACTTCACAGGCAATTTTGCATCCTGTACAAGACCGAGTTTTATCTGTTCGTGAAAATGCTAGACTCCAAGGTTTTCCTGATTACTATAAACTCTGTGGGCCTATAAAAGAAAGGTATATGCATGAATATAATTATGTTATTTTTGGTTTTCTGCAATATTTCTTCATATGAGCATGAGCGCAAAGTTGTCATATTTATATAAATTCAAATATAGTATAGAAATTTACTTTTCTATAAACCAAATCAAAATATTCAAAATTGCATTGCAATAGAAGCAGAAGAAAACAATTAGTTATTGATAAAAAAGTTGGGACGAGTAGGATTTTACTTTTCTGGTATCACCTTGAGTCAATTGCTCTTACTTGGTTAGTATTGCATAACATAGTTTCTCTTGTATTTTTTTAGATATATTCAAGTGGGAAATGCTGTTGCTGTTCCGGTTTCTAGGGCACTCGGATATGCACTAGGTTTGGCATTTCAGGGTTCTGCAGGTAATGACCCTTTGTTTACACTGCCAAAGAAATTCCCAAATCTTACAGAACAGGTTTCTTCAGCATCGTCAGAAGACAATGCTTGATTATTGTGTGGCAAAGATAGAAACATGACATTCATTCCTTTTGCCAGATTATTTTCTCCATAGAAACAATTGTACCATATATATAACATTCTTCATAAAATGTTGTATTGAATATTAGAGGCATCAAGTTAAGCCTTTTAAATTGTTTCACATGGTTAGGACTTAGGGGGAGAGCTAATTTTGTTGTAGAATGCTTTTATTGATTGCGGTTAAAGCCTAAGGAATTGACATGTAATTTGCTTCTATTGTCATGGTTTCTAATTGAAAATCAAATTAAATCAATCCATTTTTGGTTTTTAGTCATTGATTAATTTTGTTATAGAAAACCATTCGGTTTTTGGTTTTGATTTGGTTTAGTTTGGTTCAATTAGCCGAATGTTCATCCTTATTTTTAGCATTAAAGGTTGTGAACGTTTACTTTTTCTCACTATCTGAATCAATTTTAATAAACAGTTCATTGGATGGAGCATAATAAGTTAGTATCAGTCTAATAAGTTTATGAACTTCACATAAACAAGCTTTGCAAATGTTCATATAGATGCAAAGTCAAAATAACTTGGACTTTCTGCTAAATGTTTATAGTCACACATTGCTATTATAGCACAATTTATTAAGATTCATGCACATCGTGGCAGCAAATTTTTCATCATTCTTCCTAGGCTGGAAATAACAAGACAACTCCATATTTCAAATGTATATGTGTTAGCTTTTTTTTTTTTTTTTTTTTTTTTGTTTTTTTCATTCATTCTTCCTAGGCTGAAATAACAAGACAACTCCATATTTTTCAAAATGTTATATGTGTTACTTTTTTTTTTTTTTTTTTTTTTTTTTTATTTGTTTTTTTATTTTGGATCTTCTTGAGTTGTAGTGAATCAACTTCGCTTCTTCTTTCTCTGCTTCTCTAACAAAGCGATATCTGATTTTTACGTGCTTGGTTCTGTTGAAGAAAATTGCATAAATCTTTACAACAAGCTAATATCAAGTATAATATCAGGGCTTGTTGCTATTAGATACAACAGACAACCAACAATTCTTTTAAATTCTACACTTAAACTTTCACAACTCTATCTTTCTTCATTGATTTTTCATTTTGAACACTGACCTGCAATTCTCCATAGTAAATTTCTTTGATACTCCCTAGCGTACTTTCTTTGGCAAACAAAGATTCCTTATTGTGTTTGATGAATCTCTACGTCAAGAAATTTAGTCAAATCTCCTTAATTTGTCATTTCAAATGCCTTAACCGAAATTGAGCTACTGCCAGTTATGAGAAGATCATCTACACATAAGAAGATTATCACCATTGAAAAGCTTCGTATTAGTATGTGATCATTCAAGCTCTTCCTGAACTCTAGCTTTGTTAGGTGCCCATCATTTCTGCTGTACCACGCTTTAGGAGCCTGTTTTAATCCATAAAGGGCCATTTTAAACAAATTAATACACCTTCCCGCAATGGTGAAGCCCTTTGGTTGCTGAATGAACATTTTGCTCATTTAAATATTGTTACAGATAATATTGGTTATATTATTTGTTATTAAATAACTGTATGTAGTTGTATTCTACTGATAGTCTTACACTCTTATAGTTATCCTTTGTAACTACTCTATATACAGAGTTGTATTATTCAATACGAGATATATAGAAAACCCAATTCTTATATAGAAAACCCAATTCTTTCCAGATTTACATGGTATCAGAGCTACCATAATTCCTTCATCATGGCTCTTGTTCCTCTATCTTCTTCTTCTTCTCTTCTTCAACATATCCACTTGCTGCATCTTCTTTTTCAATCAAATTAAAAGGAACAATTAATTACCTAGCTTGAAAAAACCCAGTTTGGTCCAATACTAAATTTCTCCAAGGCCTCAATGGTTTATAGATGTGTCGCAAAGCAGCTCCTTCAAAAACTATACCCGCATCGTGCCACAGATACTTACACCTGATACCAAATCCAGCATATAAGGGATGGTTTAAAAAGACCAGATGCTTCATTCATGGCTGTTAGCCTCCCTTAACAGAAAGAGGTTTAACTCTTCTTGTTTATGGACTCGATTCTTCATACTGCAGTCTGGCAAGCTCTAGCCAACGCGCGTTTTGGTGGCTGTATCTCAAGATCGTCAGCTTCAATACATATTGAGCATTAAGAACTCAGCTTCAATTACATATTGAGCTTTAAGAACTCAAGAAAAATGATCTCTCCGTCTCTGCTTATCTTAAGAAGGCAAAATCTCTGGCCGATGAACTTGGTGCAGCTGGACGCCCTCTTTCTCCGGCTGAGTTTAATGCGATAATCTATCAAAATTTGGGTTTCGAATTTCATTCAATTATCACAATTCTTAATCTTCGTCCACAACCAGTTTCATTTTTCGAGTTACATAGCCATTTGGTTGCACATGAACTGCTTCTTAATAATCTCCATCAACCAATGACTAATCTCAGTCTTCGTTCCAGTTCATCTACACCAAGATCAACAACTTCTGCTCCTGTTACTCCCTCAGATTTCTCGAAGACTCGTGTGACTTGCCAAATCTGTAATAAACCCAATCATACTGCTTTGAATTGTCGTCGTCGGTTTTATCGTGGAAATATTGGGCAGAATAACAGTGGTACTCAATCTGGTTACACTAGCGGCAACAATTCCAGTTATCGTCCTTTCCGACCATGTCGACCACCTGCTGCCAATATGGTGCATACAGGCACTTACCCGACTGCTCCTTCTATGACAGATTCTGTTCTGTTTCTTGGTTTCCAGATACTGCCGCTAATTACCATGTTACACCAGGATTCGCAACCAACTGATTGCTATTAATGAATACTCAGGAATGATCAATATTGTTTAGTTGGGAATGTGGCAAGGTCTTGCAGATTTCACATACTGGTAATGGTCTTTATTTCCAACTCAAAATTGCCAGGCTAAGCTAAAATAATGTCTTATGGTGCCTGCAATTACAAAAAATTTGCTTTCTATTCAAAAATTTAACCCACTGATAATCTGTTTTCTTTTGAATTTGCCTCATTATTGAAATAAAGGACCAGTACACCAAAGAACACAAATGATGCAAGGCCAAGTGAAATGGCATGACAAGTTACTCAACTCCGACCACTCCCATTGGCAAATCAAGTGTCCAGCAGCTTCTTCCATGAATGATTGGCATCGCGCGGTTGGGGCATCCGAACTTTTCAAAAATGTTTGATTTAGTTTAAGCAGAATAAAATTTTCAGTTTCTGATACTAAGATGAGTCCTTGTTCTTAGTTTGTCGCTTAGGACAAATTGTCGTCGTATGTCTTTGGTTTCTTTAAAGAAACATACAAGTCGAAAACCATTTGCATATTGTATTTCAGATGTTATGGGGTCCTGCACCATGTACAATCTAGTGGACATCGATATTTTGGTTCATTTTTGTTGATGACTTTAACTCGTTTACATGGGTTTATTTCATGAGAAATAAAAGTGAGGTGTATGACATTTTTCTTCAGTTTGAAAGCAGCTAATTCAAACGTCAATTTGGGATGCCTATTTTGGCTTTTCATTCAGACTGGGGGGGGGCGGGATTGAATATCAACGTTTTTAAATCGGTACCCTTTTAAAGGCTACTGGTATTGTTTTCATAGGATTGCCTGCCCATACACTCATGAGCAAAAATGTACAGCTGAGAGGAAAATCGACATCTGTAGATTTACTAGTCTCACCCTTTTAGCTCATGCTCGTTACCTTAAATACTGGAATTTTGCTATTGAACAAAGTGCTATGTTAATTAACACCTTGCCTCTGAGTTTTGCATAAAAAATTTCACCCTTCTTTAAATTTATTCTCCCAAGTGATACCAACGTTTGTCCTTTCAAACCTTTTGGATGTAGCTGTCCTTCCCATTATTTGCGACCCTACAATAATGTCATAAATTTAGTACAGGATCTGCTGAATGTGTATATCTTGGGCAAAGTCCTTTTCATTCTGCCAAGTCCTTTTCATTCTGCCTATAGATGTCTAGATTTTAGAACAGGACGAGTGTATTTGGCGAAGCATGTTCGGTTTGTGACTAATGAATTTCCTTATGCCAAGATGACTGTGTCAAGAAGTATACAAGAACCGCAGGCTGATCCCACATGGCTTCAAGTTACTTGTACAACGCCATCTTCACCAACGCCTTCATCAGGTATATCCTTCTCTTCTACTCCATCTTCCCCACACACTCCAATTCAATCTCCATTATGTTCTCATAATTCTGCAGAAATTACACCATAATCTGCAATCTCCACGGGTTTACAGATTGTCTCCGATATTGCTTCACTCAGTCCACCTCCAATTCGGGTCCATCCTATGGTTTTAAGGACAAATCCTAAACCAAATCCAAAATATGCTTCTGTTGCTCAATTTACTTCATTTCAGGAACCAAAAACTTACTTGCAAGCTAAAAACAAACAGGAATGGTGTGATGCAATGCAGGAGGAAATTTCAGCATTATTAAAGAATAAAACCTGGATATTGGTGCCACGGCCAGCAAATGTGAATGTTATTCAAAATAAATGGTGTATCGGGTCAAACAGCACTCCAATGGGCATATTGAGCGTTACAAAGCTCGTCTAGTCGCGAAAGGATTTACACAGCAGATGGGTCTTGATTACACAGAAACGTTCTCTCCGGTTGTGAGATTTACACAGAAACGTTTCTCTCCGGTTGTGAAATTTCACTATTGTTCGTCATCTGAAATTCACTACTGTTCGCATTCTTTTGGCTCTCGCTGTAACAAAAGGATGGGATATGCGGCAATTAGACATTTCAAATGCTTTCCTCCATGGTTCTTTAACAGAAGATTTGTATATGGAGCAGCCAAAAGGCTTTGTTGATAGTACTAAACCGAATTATGTTTGCAAACTTCAGAAATCTCTTTATGGATTAAAACAGGCACTGCGGGTCTGGTTTGAAAGACTCAACCAATTTTTATGTTCTCTTCAATTTTGCGGCACACAGGCTGATCATTCTTTATTTATATACACTAATGGAGTTGATAAATTATTTGTGCTTGTCTATGTAGATGACATTCTTGTCACGGGAACCAAATCTTCAATCATTGATTGGTTTGTTCATAAGCTGGCTGCTACCTTTCCTGTTTGAGATCTTGGTGAGATAAATTACTTCCTTGTCCTGTTTGAGATCTTGTGTGAGTTTATAAATTACTGTCCTTTGGGTGAGGCTCTTATCGTTAGATCGCCATGTATTTTGAGTTTATATGTCTTTCTCAAAGCAAATTACTCCTTTCTATTAAAATTATTACAGTCAACACATTATGAAGAGGCTCCTAAGTCCTTGTGCTATGTTCATTCCTATCGGCAACTACACCTAATATCTTCATGTAAATCAAACAGGATTATTTATTGGAATTCTATGACAGAGTTATAGAATCAAGTGTCCGGTTTTAGTGCTTCTACAGTGTATTCTTACTCTTACTAAACCAGTACATTGTCTTTGGCGTTTTAATCAAATTTAGCTCAATTTTTTTACCATTGCGCTATCTAGATGTTCTATTGGCTAAGTTTCTATGTAAAATGTAATCTGTGTCTAACGTTATCTTAATGTGTAAGCACTCGAGGTCTTTTGCTTTCGTCCTTCATCACTTCTCACTTACATTGTTATCAGATAGTGAACTGGGTCTGGTTGTCCTGATGATCGACGGTCAAACTTGGGGTTCTATTCTAGTTTTATTTTGTGACTAATTTTAATTCTCTGGTTAGTGTTAATGCAGTCTCAACGTAGCACGTCTAATGTTACCTGGAAATGTTGAATATAAAAGCGTTGCATGTGTCCACTTGCTTTTGAGATATAATGTGGATTAACTTACTGCTTTTTACAGTGTGATTTGGGATTATTTGTGCTCCCTTGCAGTTGCATTCTTGCAATATATGGTGCGATAAGTTAGTGCTTATCCTTCTTAACTCTATATCTATTTTTTTTCATGCTCGAACTTATGCATGTTGTTAATTATTGATTATTCTATTTGTTTCAAGATTGCAGTATATCGCGCTTTTGGCATTTGTTGTCTATTCGATTTTCTTTAATAGTGCCGAGCAATTCGTCTAGATATTATATGACCTAACCTTTGTGGGCTAGCACTTATTTTGCATATCTCACTCATGTCAGTCTTATATCTTTGCATGTCTTCTCTGTCTCGTGTTCAGGTCTGTAATGGGGCCTGTTTACAGTATATTTATTGGAGTTTATTGTATTTTTGTGTTATTAAAATATCTGTTGTAGTTGTAGTTTTTCTTAATGATAGTCTTACATCTCTTTATAGTTATTCACTTTGTAAACTTTACTCTAATTATATACATAGTTGTTATTAAAGTGACGAGGTTTATTATTCATTACGAAGATATATAGAAACCCAATTCTTTTCAGATTTACTATATCAATTTCAAAATAGTATTACTTACGTCAAAATTTGCCTTTGTAACTACTCTATATACAGAGTTGTATAAATAGAGTTGTATTATTCAATACGAGATATATAGAAAACCCAATTCTTTCCAGATTTACAAATATCACATTTTCAAAATTAGATTCACTCGCAAAATTTGGTGTTGCATCTTGTTTTTGGAGTGTGGCCCATTGAACTTGCTTCTTATTTGCTGTCTCCTCTTCCTAATGTCAAAGAGCTTCTTCATCTATCTTTACTTCTCTGCAAACTGAACATTTTTTTAGTTTGCACATTGAAAATTCTATAGCCTTTTGAAACGCTGTAGTAATCCATAAGAACACCAACCTCAATTTATTGACTGAATGTATCTCTTTTGACAATGGAAATGTGACTATAGCAAATGCTCCCAAACGCTCTAATAATTAACATTAGGCTTGAACCCACAACATATATAGTGGGCTCAATTGATAAAAGATTAAAAAGTATATATTAAGAGAAAAAGTTTAGAGTTTTTAATCTAATTGACCCACTAAAAATCAAATTATATAAATGATAACTCCAACACTAACCCCATACTAGGCTTCATATTTATTTTGCAAGTAAAGAGTTTCCACCATATTTTTAAATTTTTGAAACACCTTAGCTATTTTAGATATATCATCGATAAAATGAACAAAGTATCTACTGCATATACGGATTTACTTCTCGACTAAAGCCAATTCATAGTCCAAAAAGTCTCTTACTAGTCTAAGGTTTGTCATTTCTTATGTACATTATTTATATCTTGTGCTTAGCCCATGCAAGATTCGCCTAAAGTTGTAACACATATATATCAAAATGTTTAAACTGCAATTTTAAATTAGCTCTCCATACTTAAATTTTTTGAAATGACGGCCCACTTTGTTTTCTATATTGACAAATAATAAATATATCATTACAATCATATTTTCTTGTGCAATAATGTTGATTCCTCAACTGTGTTAAGAGTATGGAAGGGCATTTTTGTGGCTCCAATCAAGATAAAAGCTTCTATTTTCCACATCGACAGTCATTAATTCACTTCTCTCTATTATAGTGCAAGCTATATTTTTAAAATTCAAAGTATACTTCTTCTCAAGCCTTTGGCCATCACAAATTAAATTTTGATCTAATTGAGGTACCAACATAACATCCGCTATGGATTTAGTACCCATTGGGGTATTTAGAGCAACACGTCCTTTACCTTTAACTTGTAAAAATTTTCCATTGCCAATTGTAAGCTCCAATGTTGGTTTGAACTTCACTGCTGTTTGGAATGGACAAGTGTTCTTCTTGCAGCTCTTGCAGATTAATATTTCTTTTGAAGTTTATTATATATCTATTATAAAAAATTATTAAAATTTTTCATCAAATGCTATATATTAATGATAGTAGTTTGCACCTATTTTATACATGTAATAATTATACTAAAAATATTGAATTTTTATATTCTTTTTATAAAAATTAATAAAAAAAATTATAAATAATCATTATAACGGGTATGTTGAATGAGTAACAACGTGTATCACTCGTTCTTGAACAAATATAAAGTATCATACATAAAATTTTATTATAAAATATCAAATTCTATTATCATGACACAACTTTAAAATTATATTATAAATATAAAATTTATGATAATTACCAGGCGCATTGCGCCGGATCGTGTGCTACTTAATTGTCTAAGGGAAGTAAATATTTTACTCTTTGCCTCCTCTTTTAACATAAGCATTAAAGGGAATATAATTTTTTTTTCTTCATTTAAAATAGGATTTATTCTTATGCTGAACCTTTCTTCAGTAGGTTGCCATCTTCTTTTATTTCGTTTAAGATAAAATACATTTAGCCCCTAAATTATGTTTTAATTAATATTTTTGTCTATCTACTTTTAAGATATAATTATGATGTGACTAATTTTTATTTCCATTTAACTGCCTGAGTCCTTCCGTCTAATAGGAGTTTATCTACCATCAATTGAGAAGGAAAAAGGAAAACCTTATAAATGTAATTTTCTAAAGTACATTCAGATCCCTAAATTGTCATAAATAATTTTTTTGTCCATCTAATTTATAGAAATAACTATAATATCTTTAACTTTTGCTTTTGTCACAAAGTAGGATCGTTCAGTCTAAAAATGTCATTTTAATTAGAAACTTCATAGTTATTTCTCGAAAATAGATAAGGTTATCTGAGACAAAAGTGTTAATTATGTCATAATTTAGGAACCTAAATTTATTCTACCTTTTTGTTTATTAAGTCTATAGGGTTAAATATTTTCTGCTCCCTCCTTTTTTATATGATTTGATTTATTTGCTCTCTCTCTCTCATTTTTTTTTTTTTTTTTTTTTTTTATTTATTTGCTCTCTCTCTTCTCATTTTTTTTTTTTTTTTTTAATTTTTTTTTTTTTTTTTTTTTTTATGGATGTCTATTTATAATATATGTTGATGTTGCGTATTATTGCACCATTGCATAGTTTTGAAAAATGCATTAAAAGGTCTCCATCATGCATGGTTAATACACATCTAAAATCAAATCCATTATTATTTCGGAACCGAATCGAGAGGTTGAAGGCTGACGTAAGTGCCTAACATCTTTTTATGTTGCATGTAACTTTCTTACTTGATTTCTGGACAAGTGATTAAGCTCTTTACAAAGGAACTGATCATTATTTGTGCCAAATTACGCAAGTGTCCCATAGGATCAGTTTGGTTTTTCCAAACTGTGCTCAATCCAATTGAAATGTATCCTCCAATAAACTCAACAAAAATTACTTCATCAATAGCAAAATTTTATCTGCAATCTTACAAAGACATTTTAAATAATAGCAAAGCATGATAAAAAAAGAATGACCTAATACATAAAAAGGGTATTTGAAGAAATATAAGGTAACCTCAGGTTTTAAGCTTACAAAAATCTTTAATAGTAGTGTAAATAACATTATTAAACTTGGGGGAAATTAATCCCCCAAAATTAATCTATATATCTAGATTACCAAGCAAATGCTAACTCATCTACGAAGTCTTATCTTTTTGTAGAGGTTTTGTAAGTGTAGCAGAGGATATATGTCTTGTGTTAGATCCCTAAATTTTGAGTGGATCTCTGTAAAAAATAAATCATCATTGTTTCTCAATTAACTCACCTCCGTAGTTAAAAAACTGTATCTAAGCCTTGGTCTTGGAGGCAAATGTTGTAGCAACAAGTAGGGGAAAAGCAATGGTTGCATCACAATGTACCTGGCATCAATTTGGAAGAGGGCAATAATTACTCGTATACTCGTTGCACTACTGACAAACTAATAAAAATTATACTAAAAACTAGAACATAAAGTCCAAACTTACAGATGCATGGAACAGTAACAAGTTATGGTGATTGTTACTAGTATTCTGATCATGTCATTTGTGACATGTATGAATAATATGGGGTGGTGGGAAAATGCAAGCAAAATAAGAAGTTGGAAAAAGAAAATTTCATACTTTGACAGTTCTAGCAGATCCTCGAATTTTTCCCCAAGATATAGCCTCATCAGGTTGAGCTCCAGAATCACTCCCATCAAATTCTTGTGCTGTATTGATGAAGACAGCATAATCTGCACCATTACGCATCATATTGGCATTGCATATGTGATGCTTAGGAAGCCCCCCTCCAAGAACGATGATTCCAGTCTTCCTGGGACTTGCATGCACAGCTTCACCATTCATAGCTCTAATGTCTGTTCAAAAAGCTACTTAGTAAGGTTCATGTCACATATTCCAAAAAGCAAAGTAGATCAACAGCATGAAACATTACCTTGCACGATATCAACAATAAGACCTGGGTTGCAAAAGGAGTGAAAGTACAACATGTCCCCCAAAGAACCATCTGTCAAGCCTGGACAGAATACTGGAATGTTGTTCTGCAAATTATTCAAAACAATATTTAAATTTTGAAATAACAACAATAATGGTAGGGCCAAAAGCCATTATCTGCTGTATTTTGTTATTGTTTGGCTTAGCCGCCTACTACTTCATCCATTGGACAGATATGATGCAATAAAAAGTGCTCGATGATATTACAAGAATTCTTTTTGTTGCATGATTCCTACTTAAGAAACAATGTGCAGTCTGGTGAAAACAACACATGAGAGAATACTATCCTTTAGCAATTTTTCATAAGTGGCTACTCTCGAGATGCAAAACCTAAACTCTTGCTCCCAAAACCAAGACATTTACCATTGCATTAAACAATCCCAAACATAGAGATACAACTCTGACTTTCATGTCATATATCTGAAATTAATCAATCCAAAACCCGAAGTAGTATTTAGTGGATAGATATAGCGGTTATGTTTTCTAGATTCTCTGGTACAACACAAGTTACTATCAGACGAAGGAGCTACTATTGGAACCATACAATTTTGATAATTTTCTTCCCATTCCTGACTCATTACAAATTTAGCAAGTCAATTCACCTATCGAAATGAAACAATAGTGTTGAAGTGCTTGCGAATGTTTGTGAAATATCCAATGTAGTGTAAGCAATTGTTGAAATCTTTATAATTAAAGTAAATATTGTCTTTTCCAGTTTATGTTTATTCCTATTTAGATTACTTCCTATATTGGAACAATCTTTTGTATATATATAGAGTAGAGATTGAAAAAATATAACACAATAGAAAGAAATACAATATATTCTTTTTAATTTCTTTATGGTATCAGAGCCATTGCCGTGAATTTTTCGGCAACGGTTTCGGTTTAAGAGTGGGCTGACATACACACAGTACTGTTGGGGGTAGGAGTTGGTCGTCACTACCCGGCTCAGAAGGAAGAGCAACCGCCGTCCGACCACGCGCGTGTGCACACGCTCCTCCAGAAGATTCTGGCTATTCTTCACGCGCCTCCAGAAGATTCTGACCGTTCTTCACGCGCCGGTGCGTGCAACTGTTTCCGGCGAGCTCCGTCGACGTTTTTTATTCCGGCGGCCTCAACTTATTATGGCGACTTTCCCCTACTGGTTCTTCAGCACCAGTTTTGCTTTTTTGGAATTTTTTCCCTTTTTGGTCTATTTCTACCACTGCTGGTTCTTCACCATTGCCGCTTGAATTTATTTTTAGTCTGACAGAATGGGTGATGGAAAGAAGGTAGATATGGGTTTTCACTCAGAGAGCCCCTCACTTCAGATTAGTCTGGTGAAGTTAGATGGAACAAACTATCTGGCTTGGTCTCGATCTTGTTTATTATTCATTGAAGCAAGAGATTTGCAGGGATACCTTGATGGTGGAGCGACTAAACTAGTTTCGACAAATCCGGGAACAAATGGAAATCCGAGAATTCTCTTATTATGTCTTAGTTAATAAATTCCATGCAGCCAACTATTTCCCGATGCTATTTGCTTCTTGATACAACTAAGAAGATATGGGATGCTGCTTCACAAACGTATTCACAAACTGGAAACTATTCTCAGAGGTATGAATTGCGACAGAAAGTTCACTAATTTCCCGATGCTATTTGCTTCCTTGATACAACTAAGAAGATAGGGATGCTGCTTCAGCAAACGTATTCACAAACTGGAAACTATTCCTCAGAGGTATGAATTGCGACAGAAAGTTCATGAAACCAAAGCAGGGAGATTCTGACTATCGCTCCAGTAATTTTGCTGAAACTTTCGTGGGTTATGACAGGACTGGATTATTACCAGACTTTCAAGCAAATGTACTGATGTGCGGACTCAAGTTCAGAAGTTGATTGAAGTAGACGTGTGGTAAATTGATTTTTCACTGGCTGGCCTAAATATAAATAACGAGTATGATCAGATTCGAGTCCAAGTTCTTGGACGAGATCCTTTTCCATCCTTGCAACAAGCATATTCATTTGTACAGCAAGAGGAGACTCAGAGGAATGCTATGGTTCACATATCTACAATTGATAAAGCAGGGTTAATTGCTAATTCTGCAAGAGAACATATACAGGCTGCAAAGAGCGGTTCTTCATATAGAGATCAATTATTTTGTGACTATTGCGGTAAGAACAGTCACACTAAGGAGTTCTGCTGGAAATTACATGGACGCTCAACTAAAGGGCGTGGAGGGAAGCGGGTAAGTTCGTCTAGACCACAGGCACACATATTTGATGGTGGAGCTTTATCTGAGGAAACATCAGGAAACATCTACTGCTGGTAGCTTTTCTGATAAGGAAATTTAGTCCCTGAAACGATTGTTGTCATAGCTTGATTCTTCCTTAACTCAGACTACAGCCTTTAATTTTGTTAATTCAGGTAATGTTTTTCTTACCTTTCTTGCAAAAATTGCAAACCCTCTTGGGTTATAGATTCAGGAGCAATAAGGAACAAACGTAAATGATTGTAAGATCTAAAACTATTAAAATGAGAAACAAGAAAATGATAAAAATGATGACAATTGTTAAGGTAAGAAAAATTTAAGAATCTTCATTTGCAAAAATAAATGAGGGTAAAATAGAAGTTCAAGCTAATGCTAGTTTGACACTTACCTTGTATGCCCAGTAAAGGTATGAACTTTCATTGTTTATCTCTTTCCCTAAGCGAGCAATTAATTTAGATGGTGTCCATGAACAATTCTGTTAAACACCACAGAAGATGTGAGAAAGATTGGGTGCTTTTGTACTACAGAGTGAAAAAATAAATAAATGGCAGATAGTGGGTTTTTGTCCCAAATGAAAATTCCAACCACACAAGGAGGGAATGATTATGGCACGTAAGCAATGAGCGCAAGAAGACAATGCGCAAACCAGAAAAAAAAAAAAAAAAAAAAAAAAAAAAAAAAAAAAAAAAAAAAAAAAAAAAAAAAACTAAAAAAAAAAAAAAAAAAAAAAAAAAAAAAAAAAAAACTTCCTATCCCTCATATGTCTCATGTATGCACACAAGCAGAGACACCTCAAACAAATTGAAAGAATACAAACACTACAAGTAAAGACCAAGTATATAACTATTATAAAATAAATACCTCTTCATTTTGTTCCTTCAACATCTGGTCAAAAATTGGAATAATCCAATCCTCAAATTTGCAATAGTTGTCGTTAGGAACCAACAAGTTCCCAATGCGGTTCAATCCTTTTGAACGCAATTGAGCTCCAGGTAGAGAAAAGTCACCTTTGTATGTGGGTGCAAGGCATTTTATAAGATCTTCTTCTATGCCACCAGCAGTTGTAACCACTACATCAACCTGGAGTCATATAAGAAACAATACTTTCTTCTATAAAAGTTGGTATGGACAGCAAGAATTAGAGCAAAAGGTTAAAATTCCTACAACTATTATATAAGCTATTGTCAAAGTTCGATTTAAAAGATTTTAAGTTAGGCAGAATAACATTAAAATGACAGCAGGTTTCACCAGTACTTGTGCTGTAAATATAGGTTATCTTATTATGAACCACTGAAAGATAATCAGAATAAATCAACCACTTGAGCAGAGCAACTCAGATATTTTTAACACCAATATAGAGAATCAAAGCAGAAAATAAAAATGGAAGCAGTCTTTAAGGGGGGTGAAACAAGATAAGTACTTCAACTGCAGTGCAAAACCCGTATTACTTATCCCCTCTTTTGGAACCCACCATTTATCAGCCTTCATCAGATTACAATCAACTGAACGACTCTTCCATTTAGCATCTGTATTTTATTTTCCTCTCTTCTCTATCTAGCAATTGAGCCAGAATTTATGAAATTAATAACAACCGAAAAACTTTTGATTACTCTTCTATTTGAGTCTATGTTTCTTCCCCTCTCTCAATATCCAGCATTGAGAAGAATTCATTAAATTAGTAACAGAAAAAATTTCCAAAGACTCTTCAACTTTGTTTGCGTTCATTCTTTGAGTTCCACATATTTTACTAGACAAGTATATAGAGGATTTTGGTCCTATTTAAGCACTAAAACAAATAAAATCAAAGATATATTATCATTGAAGTTTTAAATTCTCAGCTAAAAACATAAAGATATAATACATTATCATATTAAAACAAGGATTCCTCACCATATGATGCTGGACAAGATAGCGAATAATATCTCTAACACCAGAAGAAACTAGATTTGATGTAAAACCCAAAAACACTTTGCATTTCACAGACTCTCTATAAGCAGGGTCCTTTTCATCCTCACTGCAATCCTCTGTCATATCCTCATGAGAAAGCCTCCAGTCTAGCTTCAATCCCACCATCAAATATTGTCAATAACATAAAAAAAATACAAGCAATAAAGTGGAACGCAAATTAATATATATAAGAACCTATGAAGAATGGACATGGACATGCACAAATATAGAACAATGATACAATGATACAACTATTTTTACAAACAAATGACATATAATATCTGGGTCTGAAATATTTTGCAATGTGTTGAGAAAGTATGGGACGCATATATATTCAAGATTGAAGAGTTGGTGCTTCATAAATAAGAACAAATAACAGAAAAAGTGAAACTAACCATCTGGTTAACAACTTCAATGGCTTCCCCAAGATTAGAAGCTTGAAACCCAGTGGAGATCAAGGATTTGAGAAGCTGAGAGTAGTTAACTCCTTGATTAAAATCATATCCTTCAATTTTAATGAATTTCCCTTCAAGGGACTCAGATTCTTTGAAAACTATGTTGTGGACAGTTGATGGCAATTGATTCTCCATTTATAATTGTGAGAATTAACACCTAGGATCAAAAGGGTAATACCCAAAATGTTAAAAAATAGAAAAAGCTTCAGCTTGAAGAAAAGCAAATGAAATTAACTCTAGTTATCAAGTCAATAGAATGTTGCAAATGGTATAAAATATATACATATATATAACTAAGTATAAAAGTAATGAATGTTTATGCTATAAAATAAACAGGCAAGTAAGTATAACATTATGTAGTAATGTGTCTATGAATGATGCAAATGGTAATGCATTAATCATTATTACTCACAGTAATAGAGAGAAAAAAAAAAACTCTAGTTTTAATTATGATTCATAGAAGCATTGGACGAGTAAGAAATAAAATTGAAAAGGGAGAAGAATTAAATAAAGAATTCCTCTAAAATAAGAATAAGGAATTATTCTGAATAAATCTAACAAGGCTTTTATTAAATATACTAAATCAAGATTCTATCAAAATTTTGGCAAAACCTCCACTAAAAATAGGACTATCTACCTGTTAAATAATATCAAATATCCAACATTTATTAATCAAATTCACACAACCCATCCATCAGGCGATTAACCAAATCAAATATTCATCCTCCTTTTCATACACATTCAACAATTCTCATTCATAACTCTTTACTCACAAGTTCAAAATCAAAGTCCCAAACTAAAGTCTTGAATCTTATATTAGTGATAACATTCATCACTCAAAATCCATACTTAAGGAAAAGTAAAGTTCATAACTCATCTATCAAAATTTTTAATTAATCATCATATCCTTGTACCAATAAATAAACATCACTAACTGTGCAATGTACTCTCTTCTCATATTATAACTTTAGAAAGCTAAATAATTTGGCAACCGCATAAAAAATTGCTGGAATTCAATCATTCATTACATAAAATCAACTAATATATGAGAGTTAGCAAATAATTGGAGAAACTCATGAAAACAAACAATGTAGCTGTTGTCATAAGAAGAAAATCACAATCTCCTTATCAAAGCTTGCAGGAATAAATTGATCCGATCATTGCTCATTTATTGCTTATCAAAGTTTCATTATACAACATCTTTTCTTCTTCTCATAGCAAAATTTAAACATTTAATCAAGTTAGCTGCTAGTTTTTCATGATTCTTTCATTTTCTAAAATCCAGCATTAGACACTACTAAGATTGCTACCAAATGAAGTGAATGAGTATATAGCAATAATATTAATTCAACTCGAGCAAAAATTTATGAAATTCTCCAACCTAGCTGCTACCATGCACCAACAAACATCAAATCTCAAACCAAAGCTAGCAATAAAGGCATTAATTCCTTTATTGTCTTGCAAGAAATTGGTTTATAATTTTTTTTCTTACTTGTTTCAAATAAAAGCCATGGAGATTCCCATACAACTTCTGCAATTACAACAAAACTCACCCAAAATTTATAGTAATTGTATAACTCTTCTCATCAATAACATGAGAAATCACAAGCTAAATAAACCAAGTGATCCATGTCTATCAAATATATAACTATTCTCATAACGGCAATTGGAATTATATGAATTAAAGATAACAAATATATAAGTAAGTTTGAGTTAAGCAATTAGATTTCAGTTTACGACTAAAATTCTCACATTGCATTCTATGCCCAATACTCATCATTTCTAATTAATTATGGCTATTTAAATGTATATTCTAACTTATATTCTAACATGCACTCATTAAATTAAACCAGTTCATATCTAACTAATAAGCACTACTGGCCAAGATTTATAGATTTTCGCTCATTTCGGCTTAAAAAGCTAATATAGATATCATGGCTTCGAAATTCTGGCATTGAATCGTTATCTAGTAGTAATCCAACTAATAGTTAGCAATTGGTATGTAGCTAGCAGAAATTATCCAGTCATGAGTTTACTTCAACTCAAATAACATAAAAACCTTATCGTGGTAGCTGCGATTACAAGAAAATTCCAATTTCTTTGCCAAAATCTACAATGTGTGCATTTATCTGTTCATTATCTAGTAAGAAATAGGTTTGAAGCATCCGTTCTACCTAAATTTAGCACAATCCCCCTTTACAACACATGAAAAGTAGCTAAAAATCCGTAGACTTCCACGACTTAACAAGTCAAGCAACTCAAAATCCTTAGACTTCCACGCTTTGTTTCCTCCATAAAAAATTGATTTATGAGCAAATCCTTCAATTTAATTCGATAGAACTGAAGAAATATACTGAATAGAATCGAAAATCAGCTTACCCAACTGCACAACACGATGGAGATTATATATTCCGGTCAAGCGATTGGAAAACAACGTAGTTTCCCTTTCAATTCGTCGCTGCGTCGCTACTGGACCGAAAAACGGGGAGGACAGCAGCCGGAGAAGAGCTGGTGACGAGGTGGGAGGTCTAGTCCGGCCGGTCCTTGGCTGGTTTGACCGGAAAATTCAAGAAAATGCTGAATGAGGGCTGTGCCGATAGTAAAAAAACAACACCGCAGCTCTCTCACTCGTTTGCTGCGCTATAACCGGAAACGGAGGAAGTGGTGGGGACCGGAGATTCGCTGCCAACACAATATATAACTTTTCAATTAAACAATTTGACAATCAAACATCTATCAAAAAATAACGTTAGTAGGAGTTTTCTTAAAAAAAGAGTCAAAGAAAAGAAAATAACGTTGGTAGGAATTTTTCATAAAAAAAAAAAGCAAAAGGGTAATTTCATTAATGAAAATCTAATGGTTCAAATTTGTGAAATTCATTTAGAAATTCATCAATTTTAGTAGAATTTAGTTAGGCATATTCAATTTTATAGAATTTAATTTTTATAATTCAAATCTGTATTTTTTTCATTTTAAACACAAAATATTGGATTTTCAAATGAATTCCATGAAATTTTATGGAATTCATTTGTTCCAAATAGGCTATTAATTAAGGTTCAATTATAATTATGTTTAGAAGTTCATTAGTGATATTATATATGAGTCATATTCTAATTTACTAAAAGTCTATCTATGATTTTATATTCCACATAAGTCATATTTTAAATTAAGATTTAATTATAATTATCATTAGAAGTTTACCGGTGATGTTGATAAGTAGCATTAAAAATTTTTTAAATAACATTATAAGCATTCTATTCAATTAATAACTTTTTTATTTTTAATAAATTTCATAATTACCAAACTATAAAACATTTCACTTAAATTACTAAGACATGACATCAATACTATATATATAATTTTATTTAATATATTTTATGAAAAAAAACTAAATTCAATTTATTAAGATAACTTTTTTATTTTTAATAAATTTCATAATTACCAAACTATAAAACATTTCAACTTAAATTACTAAAGACTGACATCAATACTATATATACTAATTTTTATTTAAATATATTTTAATGAAAAACCTAAATTCAAATATATTTTATGAAAAAAAACTAAATTCAATTTATTAAGATATTATAATTTAATGCACATAATTTTATTAAAATTTACTTGTGAATAAGATATATTATCCAATAATATTGTATTCATTAATGAATGTTTAAAGTATAAGTCACTATAGTTATTGGTATACGTATTTTTGCATATTTCTAAAATAACACAAAATTTTAATTTTATAGATTTTTCATTTTAAAGATTTAATTGTAAATTTTAACCAATAGAATTAACAGAAAATAATTTTCAATGCTAAGAAACAAATCCATAAAGCAGTTTGAAATCTTCAAATTGGATGAAAAACCCAAGAATCAACTGAAAACCGGACCAAACCATTGATTTTGATCAAATCCGGTTCAAATCAAACCGGATTACCCTGGAAAGACCTGGAATTTGGTAGAAAAGCCTTTTTCTTCTTTTTCTTCTTCTCTTTCGTTTCAGCGGCACCAAACCTTCTTTCTCTTTTTCTTTGATTTTCTAGCCACCATCTCCACTGATCGGCGTTGAACCAGTAGCTGCCATCCCTCTGCCGACTCCTCCTTGACGTCGGGCTATTGATCTCTCTTGGTTCTCGTCTCTGGTGAACGCAGTAGGCAGGCGAGCTGCAATCTCTCTTTGGCGATCGACGCAGCAGCGTCTCTACTCGTTTTCGACGACATCGACACAACCGATTGACTCCAACACTTCCCTCATCGATGGCAACTACTCTTTCTCTCTCCGTTTGTTTCCAGTTGGCGCAACAAGCAAGTCGAGCCCGTTTTGACCAATTAGAGGGCCGATCTCGCCCAACCAACGCCAAACATGGACTCCTCAATGAAATCTGAGCTAGATGGTGTAAAGAGCGCTCGATTCTGAGCAGTCGCGACTTTTCGGTCTCTGTAAACGGCAGCGCCAGCCGGTGAGTCTCTGGGAAGGCCGGGAGGCAGAAATATGAAATTTGCCGACTGAACCTAAACCCAAAATCCAAATTCTGATTTTTAATCAGTATAATCTAAGATTGAGTTTAATAAATTAAATGTAAATTTCAAGTTTAGAAATTATTGATATCGAGTTAAATTAATTTTGATTAAAATAATTAAGGATTTAGAATAAAACAAGAGTGTTAATACATTTAAGCAAGTAGTAAATTAACATGGCCATATTACGGTTTCGGAAATCGGAACCGTCGGTTCGAACCAGTCCGGAATCGTAATTGAAACCGGTGAGAATTGAAATCGGGCCAAACCAAAATTGGAACTGGAGAATTTTAGTTCGGTTTCGGTTTCAAATTTTCTAGAACTGGAATCGGACTGGAACTGCCGGTTCCCAGGCCGATTAGAACTGCCGGTTCGAACCGGCGGTTCTAGCCATTAGAAGTCTCAACTGGTTACTCAACCGCATTTCAAGTTTCAACAGTACACAGTTTCAACAGTACACTGTCCTTCACAATGAAGAATGAACTTTCTCACAAAACGTGCTAAACTGGTCAAATACGACAAAACCGTTATGGGGAACCCAACCAGCCAATCAATTCACTCTTTCTTCACCATCAGCCACATGCTACCCAATGCCCATTCTCTCCTCAAAAACTCCCTCTAAAAAATTTGCTTTCTTGATAAATTTTCAAAGTCAGTTGGCCGATGGACAACAGCACATTAGATTCTATCAGTTTTGAGTTTTTTTTTTTATTTTTTTTTAAATTATGTTCAAACTTTTTTAACTTTTTTAAACTAAAATAAATTCAGTTTAAAGAATTTTTTTAAAAAAAAATAATTATGTTCAAGTATTTAAAAAAAATAAAATTTTAATTGAGTAATTTTTAAATTTTTAATTGAAGTATTTTTAAATTTTTTAGGTGTATTTTTTTTACAAATAACTTTCACAAATTTATTAAATTTTGAAAATCGATCTTTAAAATTTAAAATTTAAAATTATGCGATTCGCCGGAAAACCGATCGGAACCGTCGGTTTTGTCACCGTACCGGAACCGGAACCAGAACCGGAACTTTTCAGTTCGGTCCGGTTTCAATTTTTTTGGAACCGGAACCGCCGGTTCCGGAACCGTGGCCACCCTTAGTAGTAATTACTGTCATGAAAAAAATAAATTGAGAACTTCAATAAATATGGATTTATAGAATGAATTTTAAATATAATAAACAAATTTATTGACAAGGGGTAGATGTCTGATATTCCTTATTTCAACTGAAATTGGAAGTCAAAAAGATCGAACTTTTGCTCATACGAACTGTGTCCACTTCACTCAATTTGACACCAAAAAAATACTAATTCATATAACTCTATATACATAAACGATTCAACTTGAACTGATAACTGCAGATGTTATTAGCGGATCATCAATCAATTTTATTCACAAACTTTAAAAGTTCAAGAATCAAAAACATACACATAAACCAGTTTTAACATAAACAAATTTCAACAGAAATGAAATGAAAAAATTTGGATAGAACATACCTTAAATTCACGAGTCTTGATTGTAGATCACCGTACTAATGGACCAATTCTTGATTAAAAGGGGATACTGAGCTCAAATTTTGCGTAAACTATGCAAATGAGAGATCGATAACTCACACTCAGATGTGCAGAATGAGCCAAGAGGCAACAAAAAATCACACAGTTCACTTAAAACTGGCTCACAAGCTGGTTCAGCTTTTCATCAAAATTACTTCGGTTTGATGTAGGCTTACTTAAATCTGTCTTATGAACTATTTCTAATACTGGAGACTCAAGACGGGTTTATTAAGCATATCTAATGAACTCGAGTGAACTTTTTCTGAACCGAGCTTCGAGTAATTCAAGAACAATTTCGCTCACCAGTTTAATTAAAAATTATTAAGCTCGAGACAAATTTGAAATTATAATTAAGCCCTATAAGAATACAAATTTTGTTGTATTTTTAAATATTTTATTACTTTTGCATTCGTACAAAAATAATACCTTTGATTACATACCACTTTATTAATTAAATTCAATTTTATGCATAGAAAAATAACTTTTTTTCTTCTTGATATACCTCAATGTAGTATATAAATTTTTATATTTCTTTTTCACATTTTTTCCACATCTATATCTCAAATTATGATAATTTATTTAACTTATAAAGAAATATTATGAAATTTTCTTTCGCATAATCAACTCAAAGGCAATATTTTACAAAATAATTATTAAAAAAATAAATTTTTAAAGACTACAATTACATCATATTTATTAAAATTTCGATAAATAATCAAATGAAAAATGGATAAATTTCATCATCTATGAACTAAGCTTTCAATTCTTTATTCAAATTTATTAATTTAACTCAATAAACAAACTCTAATCGGTTTCAACAGAGTAGTAAAAAGAAAAAACAAAAGAAAAGAAAATATGAGAATAAAAGGGGAAAAATAGTTACAGAGAATCCAATAAACCTCAATAAGATTAGTGGTTCAATTTTACAACAGGAAAAGGAGGCAATCGCAGCACTGCTTCTTCCGTCTCAATGGGATCCGATCTCAGGATCTGCAATTCATTTATTTATTTTTTAAAAATTAATAATAAAACCAAACATAAAGCCTTAAAATATGACAATAAAAAGAAAGAAAGAAAGAATAGAGAGAGAATGGTTACTGGGTCTTGAAGTGGAGGTTTAGTGTCATCTTGGGCAGGCCTGAAATAAGGTTTTTGTGGCTTACCGACATAGTTATTGTTGGTTTTGATGGTTATAGTTGGTGGCGATGATAGCTCCGATCCTTTCATTGCTATTGCTCTGTACCTTTTTCCCTTCCAATTCGAAATCTTTAGGTTTCGTTTTGCCCCCCCTGCTAATGAATGGTTATGAGGAAAGCAAACGTTGTCGTTTGCTGTATAAGGAGAGACAAAAAAAAAAAAGGTTTATTGACCATTCGACTCCCATTTTGTTGTACTTTCAGTTTTTTTTTTTTTTTTTTTTTTTTAGACCATATCGACTCCCATTTTGTTGTACTTTTTTTTTTTTTTTTTTTTTTTTCGGTTTTTAGAATTCAGATTAACTTAAAAATAATAATTTTTTCACGAAATCGAAATAGTTTTGAGATTCTTATTATTTTAATGAGTTATCAACAAGATTTTTTTTTTAATTCTGTAATTAACAAACGAAAAATAATATATAATTTTTCACCATATTATTTTTCTTGATTAAACTTAAAAAGCAATTTAGATTAGACTAATAATTCATCGTTCATTTAGTTTAGCTATTCAGTGCCTTTTTCATTTAATTGTTTATATCAAACGGATAGGAGTGTGCACAGGACTGCGAAAATTTCAATCCATTTTAGAAAATCATTTCAAAAAAAACATGATATTAATTTAATAGTCTCATTCCAAATTGCACTTCAAAAGTAATTATGGAGCGTGAATAGTTCTTTAATTAAAACTGACTTGTACCGACCCAAGTTTCGTCCCATCCCGAAGATCAGGTATTCCCAGCCCATTTTTTCTTAAAATTCTAGGTGTCTTTTTTTATGAATTTCAAATTATGTTCATAAAAATCATTTTATTCTTTTTATTTTTAGGTTTTTTAAAATAAAAAATAATATGTATTTTTTAAATACCAGTCTTTGTTATAACGTTCATTGCACGTTGACAATGCTCGTTATATTTTCATTTTTTATACTCTTTTTAATTTTTTTATCTATATAATATTAAAGCATATAATATTAAAGCATAAGTTTTTGTTTAAATTAAAATAAATATAATTGGTTAATTTGATTTTGTCGTATAAGCTACTTGCAATTCTATTTCTTATATACTTGATTCTATCTTCATATAATGAAGTGGTCTCAAAATAAAGTTCAATCTAATCGTTGTACCTAATCTTTCAGTCCCTAATTTATAATTACAGATTCTTAAAACCCTGATAGGCGCTCAAAAAGAAAATCAAATCATTACTCAACCCTCAACCCTTGCCCTTAATCCCAAATCAATATCTATATACAACTATAATGAAAGATAATAATAATTTTTTTTTACTGATAGGTAAAAGAAAAGAAATAAGAAGATGATCTCAATTAATAATGGTAATTATTTTGGCTATAGTGATAGTACTACTTATCCAGTGTATTACAGAAAGGAATAAATGAACATGCACACAAACTCTTGAAACTCAAAAAATGACCCAAAACATAAATATATAGTTCTAGTTTTTCTCAATTTCTTAAACACTAGTCAAACATATCTAGGACATAAAAGACAAAAATATAAAAAAATTAAAAATGCGTAATCAGGAAACCATCTTTTTATTGCAAGGGAGATATAAATCTCCTATTATATTAAAGTGATAGTGGTTACAAATTAATTCAATAACGAAAAGAAAATAATAAATAATAAATTTTTATTAAAAATAAAACTCTTTTAAGAACTCAACTTATAACAAGAAATAAATTATATTAAAAAAATTATAAATTTGAATTTCAAAAATAATCCTTGAAATGCTATAATTTAATTAAATTTGATTTTGATGGACAAAAAAAAAAAAAAAACTAAGTCAATAAATGAATATTACAAAGCAAATCATGCTAAGATCTAATCAAAATATTAATCCCTTGAAATGCCTATAATTTATAATTTAAATTTGATTTTTGCATGTGACAAAAAAAAATATAAGTAAATACGTAAAGTCAATAAAATGAAATAGTTACAAAAGCCAAATTTCATGCTAAAGATTCTAATATTGGTTATGTTAATGAGTTTATTCTAGTTATTTTGTTTCTCTATTTTTTCTTTATAGTTTGTCATAATTTTTAAAAGTTTATTCAAGTATTTTGTTTCTCTATTGTTCTAAGTTGCAAATTTAAAATAAATAAATAAGTTAATTAAGTAATGAAAAAAGATTACATAAAAAAACATTATATTCTCTTCAAATAAACCCATAATTTCTCTTACAACCATACAAAAAAAAAGAATATACTTTTTTTATTATATATATTTATTTATTTAAAAAATAAATTTTAGAAATTATATCCAATCAAATAATAAAATGTAATTTTTTTTTATCTTAAACACATATATCCCAAGTCCACTGGATTAGAACTAAATCCTGCTCGTACCAGGTCGGCTCAAAAAAGGATAAAGTGCTTCCAGCCGGTATTTACTCTATCCATGAGGATCGAACCCTTGACCTCACTTAAGGAAAAAAAGTGTTGAATTACTTGTTAATATAAAATATAATTTTTGAATTGGCTACGACTAAGGGTATTTAAGGATATTCTAAATTTCATTAAGGGCGATATCGAAAATCTCATTATTCCCTCTGTATTTCCACATATATATAAAAAGGGCTGATAGTTCGAAAATCTTCCTTTATTTCCTCTTGTATTTTCCAATCTATATATATATAATTAATATATATTATTATATATTATATAGTATATATATTAGATATTTATATTTTATAAGGTATGGGTATAGTATATTATAAATATGTATTTAATCATTAATTGTAATTATATTTTTTTCACATTAGTGTTTTTCCTCTATTATTTTTACTTGTGTCTTATAGTAAATCTTTTTGAATAAATTTTTTTCTATTATAATATAAAAATGGAAAGATATAATCAACATGAGAAAATTAATATTAAATTTTTTGATAACCTGATAAAAAATACCTGAATAGATTTAGGCCTCAATATTATTCCATTTATTTATTTTTTAGATGATATCCAAAATAAATAAGTTAGTATTCCAAAATAATATATATAAAATGAATCAATTAATTGAATATATTTTTCAACATAGTGTTTTCCTCTATTATTTTACTTTATGTCTTAAGTAAATCTTTTTGAATAAATTTTTTCTATTAAATAAAAAATGGAAAGATTAATCAATCCATGAGAAAATATTAATTTTGATTAACCTGATAACTGAATTATTGATTATGCTCAATATTATCATTATTTATTTTTTAGATGATATCCAAAATTAAATTAAGTTAGTATCAAATTTAAAGAAGAATAAGACAACAATAGTAAAAAAAAAAAATGATGAGTTAAAATTTATACAATACATGAAAAGTTAAATTGTATATAGTTCTTGCATTATTTTATTTTATTATATTTAATATTTTTATTAATTAGAAAGTAACTACTTAAAAATCTTCCATTATAACTTTAATAGTAAATCATTAATGCTTAAATTAATTATTTGATTTAATCTTTTTTTTTACTTAAACTTTTATAAATGAAATTTGTTTGAGTGTAATTGATGAATATAATAATTTTGTCTTTTTTTATAAAAAATAATTTAATAAGATTATGGGAAATTCTGAGTGATTCCCAATCCGATCCAATACATCTTGTCCCATAAACCTGAATTCTCATCACATCTAATTCCAAAATATGTGATGGGATGGGATGTGAGCACTGACCCATGCACACCCCTACCAACGGATAGCCAATAGTGGTTACTAATAGTTGGTGGCTGTTGGCTTGTGACTGGTTTGAATTAGCTGATGAATGTTTATATTTGATAAAATTTTGATAGCGGTTGTTATTAAAATGTAAAATAACCATTAAGGATATAATTGATTTTTTATATGATGTTGAAGATGCCTCTTTTAGACGGGGTATGTGCTTAAATTTATTTTAATTATAAATTGATTTTCTTATCTATTAAACTCATTTTACCTTCAGAAAGACGAATTTATTTTTGAAATGAAATTTTGATAAAAAGACTATTACTTTGGTAAAAGTTTATTTTTAGAGTCGTCACCTTTTTTAGGGAAGATCTCGAATAAACCATTTCATTGGAAATAATCGATTCAGTTTTAACTAGAGTTTAGATAAGAAAGTTAGGTATGATCTCAGAAAGGTGTTATGCACCTGGATCGCCAGGTCATAAATCGGCCTCCATCATTTGTCCAATCATTCAAAATATAATATGAGCATCAACTTAAATTGAGATGCTAAAAATGATTTTAATATATTTTGAAAAATATGACAATTGTAAGCATTATTAACAATCAATCATAAAACACACATAAAACCAAAATCATACAAAGAAAGAGGGAGGAGAAAAGAATTACAATTTATCCACCTAAAGTATATTATACCCTTTAACTCATTTAAATTTTCAAAACCCCTAATTATTAACAATATGCAATTAATTAGAGGTCATTACCAACCCTTTAAATAATGCCAAATAACAATAAAAACATTAAAGGGAAAGTAAACCATACACAAATAAATTACTTGCTAATGAAAGCAGTGTTATGAATATTAGTAACAAAAAGGACTTATGAACAAAACATAAAGATAAATAAACCATACATAAAGATTAAATCATTCACTAATGGGTTAATGCAATAATAAATAAAGCATAAAAAAGTGCTTGAAACTTAAATGGCTGGAATTTAAAATACGAAAATGTAAAGTACAGTAATATTAAAGAATTAAATTCAAGTTATTATATAGATTTGGATTCAAGAATTTGATATTCATCATGGATGATGAACAAATATGACCATCACAATCCATTTCTTAGTTATTGTTGTTTATTAGGATCAAAATGAATCAAAAACACTATAATAAACATTGACGTTTAGTATTAGATTCAAAAGATCCACGGGTTAAAATTAAATTACGTGAAGCTCAAATATGAACTTCTGGATTGAAGTAACGTGCGCTATAACTCTTGTGGCGTGCAGGATTTTTCAGACTAGAATCCAAAAAATGAAAATTTCAGAGTGTTTGGTTTTGGGAAAGTGGCGTGCGCCATTACATATGGTATGTGGTACTACGTGTGGCGTGCACCACTTATTTATAAGGTATGCCACTTCCACATAGACAGACCTCTATTTGGTTGATCACAGAT